GTCATAAATACTTCATTATTTCATAAACCACTATTTCATGTTCTTATTTTTATAATTTCTACATGTAATTTAACGAGATTTAAACTGATGATCTAATATCTAGAAAAATTCTAAATCCGGCATTGCTGAAGTCCTGACAAGTACATATCTCAGACTTAATACTGTATTAGACTTACATATAGCACTACTATGATATATTTATTTTGAAACAAAATCAAACTCTTCTTAAATGATATGCCAGTTTCCCCCCAGATTGAGTCTATACCTGAAATTATACAGAAATATCGAATTTTGTAAACATGTAAACCATTCTTAAGATAATCATGTTTAAAACTCCGCATTAATTTTCAAAATGGTCCAAAAAAGTTAAAAAAGCAGGGTTGCAGTAAAATTAAGAATTTAAGTTCAGAATAATTTTTGTACATTCCATTACTCATCCAGAAGCACTTTGTTTTAAAAATTTGCAGATGGATGATATTATGGAAACAATAAACTAAAATAAACTTTATTCATGGGCAAACCTTGAGTCACTGAGAAATTGCTACATTACTTGAAGAAATTGAAAAAGAATACGAAGAAATTATTTATTATAATGAAATAGGGTGGTTATTAAAGGAGTGGTATTCATTTTTTTAAAATATAACAAAAGAAATAAAATATTTTACGACACAAAGACAAAGCGCAGATGAAATGATAAATGATTCAGCATTTCTTGTTAATGCAAGTAGCCACTCAGATTTTCAATAATGAGCTGCATGGAAAGAAAAAACTTATCACAGACATGCTTGCTTGTATTAGTTTTTAAAATTAAATTGAAATTATGGGAAACATAACTGGGAAAAAATTATGCATTTCATATATCTTAAATATTGTTCTATTGCTTCAGGATGAAAACCATTACAAAAATTATTTAAAGGATTTTAATGATCTGACTTTACATCATTATTATTAGCATTAAAAACATACATTCACTTCATTATAGTTTTCTGATGCATTATTATATACCAGGAAATCTATAAATGAAGTAAATTAATTTACACTGTGATGCAAATAATATCCAATAATTTGATTAATAAGATTTCTATTTTTCATGCCCTCAGTTATGAAATTTTGCAATAAGAATGATAACTTTGTCTGAGAGAACATCTGTATATGAAAAAGATTTTTTTTTTAACCGATGAAAATTAATAAGAAAAAGAGCCTAGTTGACCGATAAGCATATACGATCTATGAAAAAGATAGTTTCTAGTTATTTTTTCTCTAATATTTCAAACTTCATCAGATTTAAAATGCCATCAGAATGCATTACTATATCTGAATTTGGGGGCAAACTGAAATTTGCGCAATACTATTCAACAGCACCACATTTTACTGCCTCATAGAACATGCTTCACATGAAAATGCTTTATCCCATTCTTTGGATCAAAGTATAAAATAGGATATGTATAATTGCATAATTTTGGTAAAATACATTAAAAACTTTCTTTTGAGCTACCACAACATTCTTGGCCATATGCAACTAAAACTAAAATTATGCAGCACTCATAAGTATTTTTCATTGGGGAATCACAATTTTAAAAATTAAATTGAGCTCTGAGCAGGTGTTTATGACATCCCATATGTATTTAATATGATTAATATCCAAAGAGTTAAAAAGCAAGGACATCAAATAAAATTAATCAGGATATTCCTCAAACTACTGTAGCACAATTACGTGAGAATGCCAAGAATTTTTCTGCTACAAGAATCTATTTTTGGTGGGAAAGACAGAAGCTGCGACTAGAAATGATGCACCATAATTTCGGACAGATAAGCCGCAGATTATATACGTGTTTAAAAGTTGAAAATTTAGGTCTGAGGTGTATTTGCACAGGCAGCACACCTGAAGAAATTATACTGTTCTTCTATCTTTAAAACTTCTAGTTTATATTGTAAGTTATGAACATGCGAAACAGTCAATGTAAAATTCGCTGCGACATTGTAGCCTGATACAAGAGTTCAGGTTGCACTAAGGTAATGCAGCAAATTCGAATTTGTGTTAAACTTTGTGACGAAATTAGGTGGCACTTGCTGTAAAGCCGCCATAACGTATGTTGACCAATTTTTTTTTTTTCCAATGGGCCACAGGAACATTTACTTTGTCAACTTCTTATATGTCTCTTGATGCTTTGCAGCTTGCTTATTGCTTATTTGTTGCAGTGCCTATTTTATTGTTCATGCTAGTTGAATTAAAAAAAATATATATTATTACAGTCAAAAGTTGTTAATTCGGACACGTCGGGACTTCGGCGATTCCGGATTATCGATTTTTCCGGATTATAGATCATCATTTTGAATCTGGTAAGATGGCATGCAGAAATTATAAAATTAAAAGCATGAAACCGTAATTTATGAAATAAAGAAAAATTATGATCTAAAGGGTATCAAAATTTACAAAAAAAAAAAAAAAAAAAAAAAGCTTAATATTTATTTGTTTACTTTATTAAACATTTCTTTCAATGTAAGTTGTTTAAGTTGCTTCCTTTGTTATGTGATAATACTTTCTCTTTAATTCTATAAACAGACATAATTTCTTGTTCAGTTACAAAGTTCTGCTGTTCAAGTCCTATAATTGCTGTGTCGAGAATGCTGACTAATTTGTGAATCAAAATTTTTTCGTTTCCAATAACCTCTGTGTCACTTTCTTCGCTATCGGAAGCGAATTATAATGATGAGGAATTTGATTTAAATCATATCAAAGACGGAGTACATCGAGATGAAATTTATATTGAGTAAGGAATTATAAGCCAAATAAAATAAAAAACATCTGCCCTGAAGATAAGGATAGTGCTGACAGATCAACTTGCAATTCATTGCGCGAGCCGCTAGCCGCGGGCGTCCCCCCTGAGCAGAGCAGAGTGAGTGAAATTGATAAACAGATTTCGGAAATGGTTAGATAACAAAGGATATGCCTTTATCGATTTTTTGAAGCAATTCCACTTTTTGTTTAATGGACTTCGAAACATACTTTCGCTTCGTAGATTCTTTACATATTAGTAAACATATATCAGAAATTCTATTTGACATAATCGAAAGTTCAAGCTTATTTTTATAAAATTGCTCTAACAGTCTGCAAAAAATAATAAGCAGGATCCAAATCGAAGATTAAGGAACAACACAATCTGCAACATTAACTGAATTAGATAATTTTAGCTTAGCTTATACCGTCCGTTATACATTAAACGCGCATTTGTAAACGTATTTTGCGCATGCGCACACGCATAATCGCAGCCGTGAAGGTCTTACGTGCATGCGTCAAAGCAACGCATGCACAGAAAGTTTTTAGCTTTGAGGTCCGGTCTTTGATTTCTGATTACGGGTGTCCGAATTAACGACTTTTGACCGTACAACTTAAAGAAAACACTATACAGCTGCTTTTAAGCATTCAGCAGTGAAGAAAGTGATAGAAATTGAGTTGCTAGAGAATTTCAAGTAAACAAGAGACATCCAAATAAGAAGAATTAAAGAAAATGCCTAAGAATAAAAAAATCTTGTCAGACCTCACATCTTAGTCTGGCCTGTTTTGGAAGAAAATTTAGAGAAATAGACAGCACAGCACGGAAAAGGGATTATCAGTGTTAATAATCAGAATTCACCTTGTAAGTGCTCAACAAATGGGGAACAAAAACTTTGTCGGTGGTCCTAATTGGTGTTTCAGTTTTACAAAATGAAAGAAATTAACCATCAGGACTAAAAAAACAGTTGGACAGAAGCTTCCCATGGATCTCTTTTTTTCGAGTACATATTTAAGAAAATTAATGAGCAAAATTTGAACAGAGGAAAAATAACTAATATGGATGAATTCCCTGTTAATTCTGATTGTCCTCCAAGCAGAACTGTTCATTCAACATGTAAAAAAACTATTTCTGTGTTAGCAACTCATGAAATGAAAAAAACATCTTTTACTTGTGTTTACGGATGTATTGCCAATGGAGCAAAGTTAAGCCCTTTCATAAATTTCTAAAAGAGAAACAGTTCCAAAAGAAAACTTCTCCAAAGGGATATTATTTGCGCCAATGAAAAAGGATGGATGTGGAAAGAAATGATGTTTTGCCTGCAAGAAATTTATCAGAAAAGGAAAGGTGCTGTTTTGCAACTTCATGGACTCAGCATTCTGGATTCAATGCGAACCCATTTAGTGGATACTGTAAAATTTGAAGCAAAAACACTTAGCAGCAATGTTTCAATGATACCAAGTTGGCTTACAAAAATTTTACAGCCAATGCATCTTTATCAAAATTTTCAAGCACGAATTATGAAAGCAATGGAAGAAGTGGATGTGAAGTGGACACATATTCTGGACAGATAAGAAAAAGCCTTGTATGAGGAGGCTGCCTTGTGGGTCCATAAAGCATTGCAATCGGTCCGAGCTGATACAATTATATCAGCCTTCATTTAATTGGAAATCACTGAAAAATAAAATGACGATGATGACGTTTGACAGTTTTTGTATAAATAAATGCAGTTTATTTTAATTATAAAATTCCATTTGATTGTTTCACTTATGTATTTCATTTTTCATAATATGGCAATTTATAGTGATAAGCAAAATTTATACAACCTGTAAAAATAACATCTACTGGAAATCAGCAGAGTTCATTTTTGGCAAATTCAAGGTAAGATGTTTATTTTTATTTATTAACATATTACTTTCATACTTATATTGTAAATGTTACAAATGATACTTACATCCCTATGGAAAGGAACTACTGAATAAATGAATAAGTGCCACGTTTCAAAATACTTCCTTGTGGCGTATATGGTGGTGCGGCTTATCCGATCAAATTAAAAATTTTTTTTTAAAATGATGTTGCAGCTTATCTACCTGAAATTATGGTAACTAGTCGAAGAACATGTTCATGTAGATTTACAAGCTTACCCCTTGTATAATAGCAGAAAAACATATCTACAAAAGGACAAACTATTTACAGAATATATAAGCTTTGAAATATGCACCATACCAATATAGTCATTCTGTCCAAAATACTTCCGCTTCTCAGACCACTCATTAATAGGCTTATACTTTTTTAGCCAATGCAAGGCTACTTTACTCTTCTTGTCGGTCTCTTTAATTCTTGGCAAGGTATCTAAAATAAGAATTAAAAATATAAAAAAATTTTAAAAAAGCAAAATTAGGTAGCCAGAGTTTTAACATAATAGCTGAGAGTGTCTTTAAATTTTAATAAAATGCTCTTTTTTTTTTTTTTTTTTTTTGGTTATAAATTTAGCAAGACAGTGCCATTAAGTCATTACGATAAAAAATGCAATAAAATTCCGATTATCTATGTGCAGATTATCATGTATCAGGCCCCCCCCCAAAATATATATAATACCCAAAAAGAAGAAAAATTGGTACTTATGTATTATCACAACCGTCTTAGTAGAAGTCGCCAAATTCTGGCAATCATGCACATAACAGTTCTTTAGGAACCATATCCATTGTAAGTTGCAATCCAAAAATTCACTGAATCAAATTTTTCTTCTGTAAAAAATTACTAAACTGTGCCAAGGTGGTTGTGCTAATAGTACTGAAAAATTTATTGAAACATTAGTTAAAAAGTAATTGATAGAAATGATTCCTGCAACTGTGAATTAGGAACATTTTACAGATAATATGGTAACAGCATTGAGTCTCCTTTAAATTATGTCTCGTTTTCTAAAGTCTAAAACTATAAGTGCAGGAAAATGTGGAACGAGAAGGAATATTTCTCAAAAGCATTTTTGATAAAGTAAGTTATTCATGAATAATCATAGCAGTACAAAGAAAATACAGATCATGACAAAATAACAACAGCAGCTATAGAATATTGGAATAACTGGTGAGTTTTAGATAATATAGATGAGTGAACAAAGTTTATACAACTTAAACAGTATTGGTCTACTGCCAAAGAAGGAAACAGAAAAATGAGAGTTCATATAAATTTCATCGTTAATATTACGAAATTTTCAGTTAAAATCCCTCAACAGCATATTTTTTTTAAATACCATTGCAATTCTTGCTATTTTACAGGACCAATTTTGGATAATCAGTATTTTCTGAGTATTAATTAGAACACATAACCATGACTTTAGCACAGAACTACTTAAATTAACTATCTTCATAATTAACAATATTAATTAAGACCATTTACTAAAATTTCTCTGGTACTTAAGCATTATCCCACAGACTGTAAAACTACAGCCAAGGAGCACAATTTAACACCAATTATATATAAGCGAGCCATAGAACAGTCATCACATCTGCATTTTCGTTTCATATAACTCCAATCAATTCTCGATAAGTCGTGTTTTATTTTTATAAGCAAGCACATAAATTAACTTTTACTGCAATATTTTTCCCCTTGCATTTTGAAACAAATTATTAAAATCTGGAACCTGTCTTCCACAGAACAGCAAGCAGTAGATTATTTGGATAGTCTATATTTTAGGGTACCCCTTGGATCATTGCGAAGTTGTTTCATTTATGGCAATCTGAATGTTTTACGGTGCATGTTTTGGAAACCCAACCATGACATGATTGGTTGAAATGCTATCATGACATCATGGCAGTGATTTTGATTGTTGGGAGAGCATTTCTCAGGGCTTATTTCCGCGCTGGATGTTGGTTAGGAAGTACGTTGCTGATTTTGTGCTTTACACTGTAAAATGGCTGCTGGTGGTCAACTAGGTGTTTGGTGGCACAGAACAAGAGCGGAAGATGTTTTTTTGAAGTGGTTGAGGACAGAAGAAAAGAAACTTTGTTGAACAGAATATCTCATGTGGAACAGCGATCATATCCGATTGTTAGCAGTCGTACGATTGCTTTTCTCATAGTGGCTTTGTTCACCTCTCAGTAAATCATGCAGTGACATTTAAGGATCTGAAACCGCAGCTCATATCAAAACAATTAAAGGTATGTGGGACGTAATAAAAAGGGACTTTTCGAAAGAAATACCACTGATAGTCCGGATATTGAGTCTTACTTTTGTTAATTTATGTGGCAATAGTAGTATACAGATTCTAGTTCAGATAATTTTAAACAGTTTTTGGTTGCTGTTAAGGAATTCTGTATGCCACACACTAAAGACACAAAAATTTCTAAATAAGATAAGTTGGTACAGTCAAAAGTCGTTAATCCGGACTTGTCAGGACTTCGGCGATTCCGGATTATAGATCATCAGTTTAAATCTGGTGAGATGGCATGCAGAAATTACAAAATTAAAAATATGAAACCGAAATTTATGAAATAAAGAACAATTATGATGTAAAGGGTATCAAAATTTACATAAAGAAAAAGCTTAATATTTATTTGTTTACTTTATTATACATTTCTTTCAATGTAAGTTGCTTCGTTTCATGTGATAATACTTTAATTCTATTAAACAGACATAATTTCTTGTTTAGTTACAAAGTTCTGCTGTTCAAGTCCTATAATTGCTGTGTTGAGAATACCGACTAATTTGCCAATCGAAATGTTTTCGTTTCCAATAACCTCTGTGTCACTTTCTTCGCTATCGGAAGCGAATTATAATGATGAGGAATTTGATTTAAATCATATCAAAGACGGAGTACATCGAGATGAAATTTATATTGAGTAAGGAATTATAAGCCAAATAAAATAAAAACATCTGCCCTGAAGATAAGGATAGTGCTGACAGATCAACTTGCAATTCATTGCGCGAGCCGCGGCGTCCCCCCTGAGCAGAGCAGAGTGAAATTGATAAACAGATTTCGGAATGGTTAGATAAACAAAGGATATGCCTTTATCGATTTTTTGAAGCAATTCCACTTTTTGTTTAATGGACTTCGAAACATACTTTCGCTTCGTAGATTCTTTACATATTAGTAAATATATATCGGAAATTCTATTTGTCATAATCGAAAGTTCAAGCTTACTTTTATGAAATTGCTCTAACAGTCTGCAAAAAATAATAAGCCGGATCCAATTCGAAGATTAAGGAACAACGCAATCTGCAACATTAACTGAATTAGATAATTTTAGCTTAGCTTATACCGTCCGTTACACATTAAATGCGCATGCGCACATATTCGCAGCCGTAAAGGTCTTACACGCACTTGTAAACAAACTTTCTGCACATGCGTCGTGTTCACGCATGCGCAGAAAGTTTGTAGCTTTGAAGTCCGGATTATAGATCATTCCGGATTACGGGTGTCCGAATTAACGACTTTTGACTGTATTACCTTTTTGTACTGCACAGATTAGATAACGTGTATTTCCATTTTTATGTTATTTCCTTTTTTTTAATTTAAAGTATAGTTTATTGAAATTATAATTTTTTTATGTACTAATTACGTTTAATTGCATTAAGCTTCGTTCAGACGGGGGCATAAAGCGCATAGAGGGATAGTCATAAGGGCATAAAATACGGGACATCCGTTCACACCTGCGAGACGGGGGTCTAAGCTGCGGCCAATGAGAGAAGCTAAATTTGGGCATGCGTGGATGTGTCTGATGCTAAAGCAAAGTTTAAAGTTTAAAAAAAATTAAACATTTAGCAATAGTAGCAATAAAAGCTCCCTGAGATAATATGTTGTGCAGACATTGAAGACAATAAAAAGTTTTGAACTTAACCAATTTATTAACAATATAATAAAGAATAAAAACACAGAAAATAAATTTAAACAATATCAGAGTCTTAGGAAAAATATAATATAATCAACATTCATCAAATAATAATTTTACCTGGTCTCCAAAAAACACTGGCATTCAATACAAACAAAAATGTCCTAAACAGTAATTATGCGGCCTAAAAATGAAGTTGGCTACACATTCAGAAAGTCCATGATCAATGGCTAAGAAAACACCTGAAATCAAGTTCTTGAAAGCACTCAAAACTGGCCTAACTCTGTTTGCATGAGTTGAACACGAGGAATCGCCACTCACATATTTTAAATGCCACCTTTATTGAAGAACATGGATGCCGCCCATGGCAGTCACTCACATGGTAGAAATCTCTGGAACCAAGGAACTTTATTCTGGAACAATCCATCTTATGGATATCAACCAAGGAACTCATTCCGGAAACAACCATCTTGTATACAGGAATCAAGGAACTTTGTTCAGGAACAGTCATCTTGTGAACAGGAACCAAGGAACTTTATTCACCGGACTGCATGCATCCTTCTGAAGGGGCTGGAAACTGCACACCCAAGTGCCAGGAAAGCAGGAACTAGAAGGGTTGAGCCAGAGCGACGTGAGATACTTATAGCAGAAGTAGGCATGACGTCATCTCATGGCAACCAATCAGCTATCAGCACGAATCGGCTTTCCAGATGATGTAACCTCACGTTTTGTTTTTGCATCTCAATTAGGTTGAAACAGTCCGTTCTCAACGCAAACAGTGGCAGTAAGGAAAAGAAGTAGAAGTAACTACTACATTACACTAAAATAAGAATTAAACTAAATAAACATTTCAAGAAGGAGAGATGATGCAGTAAAAGGTTTACAATAAGTTATATTTTCCAACAGTGTCTACACCTTTTGCGCGCTGTTTTCTAGCTCAATTGATTTCTCGCGCTTGCTCTGCTTGTTTTCGTTATTTTGTGTCATGGCTTTTTCAGCTCACCATAAAGTTTTACTGGTTCAACAGAATGCTTTTTTATCTGCCCTTCTTATGAGCCAAGAAACAACGGAAGAAGGTAAAAAAAGAAAAAGAACATAATGGTCTAGAGATATTTTTTTGAAAGACCAACACTTGGTTGGCACATATATTTCTGTGCAAAGCAGTATGGAATATTTCTGAATTTCTACCAGAGAAATAGCATGAATTTAATGATCAAAATTCCATTCAAATGATAGCAATAAAGAGTGGATAATAATAACAAATACCAGTCAAAAGTCGTTAATCCGGATGCGTCGGGACTTCGGCGATTCCGGATTATAGATCATCAGATTAAATCTGGTAAGATGGCATGCAGAAATTATAAAATTAAAAATATTAAACCATAATTTATGAAATAAAGAACAATTATGATCTAAAAGGTATCAAAATTTACCAAAAAAAAAAAAGCTTAATATTTATTTGTTTACTTTATTAAACATTTCTTTCAATGTAAATTGTTTTGTTTTATGTGAAAATACTTTTTCTTTAATTCTATAAACAGACATAATTTCTCGTTCAGTTACAAAGTTCCGCTGTTCAAGTGCTATAATTGCTGTGTCGAGAATACCGGCTAATTTGTCAATCGAAATTTATTCGTTTTCAATAACCTCTGTGTCACTTTCTTCACTATCGGAAGCGAATTATAACAACATGGAATTTGATTTAAATCATATCAAAGACAGAGTACATCGAGATGAAATACTAAATTTAGAAAGAAATTATAAGCCGAATAAAATAAAAAATCTGCATCTGCCCTGAAGATAAGATCAACTTCCAATTCATTGTGGCCGCGATGCCCTTCCCTCCCCCCGCAGAGCAGCGTGAAATTGATAAACACATTTCAGAACAGTTAGGTCATTTTTTGCAGCAATTCCACTTTTGTTTAATGCACTTTTCGAAATATACTTTCGCTTTGTACATCCTTTACATATTAGTAAATATATATCAGAAATTCTATCTGACATAATCGAAAGTTCAAGCTTACTTTTATAAAATTGCTCTAACAGTCTGCAAAAAATAATAAGCCGGATCTAATTTGAAGATTAAGGAACAACACAATCTGCAACATTAACTGAATATGTTTTGAATATGAATTATGAATATTTATGATAATTTTAGCTTAGCTTATACCATCCGTTATACATTAAACGCGCATGCGTAAACGTATTTTGCGCAAGCGCACACGCATATTCGCAGCCGTAAAGGTCTTACGCGCATGCGTCAGAAAGTTTGTAGCTTTGAAGTCCGGATTATAGATCATTCCGGATAATGGGTGTCCGAATTAACGACTTTTGACTGTACTATTCATTAAATTATAGTCCATGTTATAAATTATGTGTGCTATTCAGTTTCATTAAAAGTAAATTCCTTTCATGAAGAACATAATTAAAAAACAGAACAGAACTTCAACAGGAGACAAAACTGTCTAGACTTGTCGACAGTTGTTTTAAGGACAGTATGTTTCATTACATTTTTTCCTTCTTGCACTTCATAAGAGCATTTATCTCAAAAAGATTAATTTTTTTTATTACTTATACAAAGCTTACACCATTCAACTTGACTCATTGCGACTATTCTTAAATAAGTGAAAATAACTTTTTCTTTTTTTTTTTTTTTAAAGTAACCTTTAAAACATTTTTTTTACCCTTTAAAAAAACAGCAGGTTCTTGATATTGATTTGATGTTTTAGTGAAATTAATTCATGAAGTTTGTTTGGAAAGAAAATCGGCATTTGAAGCAAATAGCAATACAATATTTCCAGCTTTTTCGATAAATTTATTCTCAAATACAAAATTAAACAGGAAAAAAAATGATAGTAAAAGAAAGTAATAATAATAATTTACACACACACACACAGTTGTTGTTTGATTTATCGCCAAGTTGTTGTTTCATTCATGGTAGCCTGAGTAATTGAATGTTATGGAAACCCTACTGTGATGCAATCGGGTGCATGATTCTGGAAAATTTTGAATCATGGGACGTTTTGTAAGTGTTGGTTTGATTCTTTAGATGGTAGAATAAACGAATGTAGTAAGATTAATTTGAAGTTTCTGTACGATTTGGAGCGAAAGGGGAAAAGAGCTTTAATTGACTGGTGTGTAAATGAAGGTTTACTTGGTAGCCATTATAAGTGTCCTGTATGTAGGAAGGATATGCGTCTAGTCGAACGTAAAAACCGTTTAGATGGATTTGAATGAGTCTGTAGGAAGAAAGGTTCATATGGTCACTATGTGAAGCGTTCGATCAGAAAGAGTACCTGGCTTGAAAAAAGTCATTTGAGTATGATTGATACTTTGATTTTTACATGGCTCTGGGTGTAAGAAGTGAACTCGAAAATCATGGTAAGTGAATATTTGCTTTTGGTAGTGCTTAAATGTAACACATGATTTTCCTTTTTTATGTTATTTTATTGTTTGATTTAAAATGTATTTGATTGAAATTATGTATTTTTTGTTTGCGTATATTGTAGAATTTGGTGTTCCTTTGACTTTTTAAGTGAAAATATGATGTGTACATGGACAAAGTAACGGGAGTGCGCAATGCAAGTTTGTGCAATTCTGGGATTTTGTTTAAGTGAAAATAGGTCGACGTGGTATACATGGATAAAGTTAAAGAGTGTCCAATGCCATTTTTGTGCAATTCGAGGATTTTTTTTAAGTGAAAATAGGTCAATGTGTACATGGATAAATTCAAAGGAGTGCGCAATGTTATTTTTGTGCAATTTGAGGATTTTTTTTAAAATGAAAATAGGTTGAAGTGTACACAGATAAAGTCAAAGGAGTGCGCAATGCCCTTTTTGTGCAATTCAGGGATTTTTTTTAAGTGAAAATAGGTCGACGTGTACATGGATACCGAGTTTGTGCAATTATTTGTCTTGTTATTTTGGCTTTGTACCGCTTCGCAAGCCAAAATAACGAGTTAAAGAATTGCACAAAATCGGTATCCCTGTACCGCCAAAAATCGCCAAGGGGTACCCTAAACTATACTTTTACCGAAATATCTTAGTCTTATAAAACATGCCAAATAAGGCATGACAGCAACAGGAAGATAGACATTTATTGGCAAGTCATTGGCGCCTTATTTGCCATATTTTATATGAGTAAGATATTTCCTCTCAGATTTCAGAAATATAATGTTTTAGAGTGCTACTGTACTTACTCCGTATTAACTAGTGGTCGAATTATTGCTGGTACCTATCACTTATCCATTTCCTGATAATCCAGAAGTATAACATTTAGACATTTTAGAATTGTGAGCTGCCAGTACTTCAGCCATTTTCCACTAGTTAATTTAGCATAAGATCGTTAACATTGAAGAAATAAATTAAAATTGAATTATCTGTAATATTTAAAATATCTAATGCATCTGCTGAGTTTCAGGACTGATTTTTTACTGCATCCTGACAAAGGTAACAAATGAAAATAATTACTAAATCTTGCTTCCACTAAAATATCATTTGCTTCCATAGATTTGATAGATTTCCAATACGTTTTGGTGCTGTTATGAAACTTTTATTAATATTGAAGAATTTTCTTACCTTACTTTGCTCTTTTAGAAGTGAAAATCATAGAAAATGCTACTTTATATTAAACAGTTTTTTTTTAAAAATATTTTTTGCAAAAACAATACTTTCTCGTTTGTGAACTTAAAATCTCTTTTTATTTCACAAAACAAAATAACGGTATATTAAATGATGACTGACCTGGTCTCTTAAAGAATGGATCATTATATCCAAATCTCCTTAGATAATGCCTTTTCCATGGAGTTTCACGTATATGCCTAACTTGCGTGAAAGAATTTGGAACAATAATGCTTTTGATGACTGATGAACGGATCCAATTCATGTTGTACACCTGCCATAAAGAGTAAATCAGTCTGCATATTCAAAGTAAGGCATAAAATTAAAGTAAATAAAATAACCAATATACTGTAGAAAATCTAACCAATCTCAACTAAAATATGAATATTATATACCTGTCGAAGAACAGTAATAATAATATTTTTTTCTAATATAATATATGTGTTTTCAAAAGTTAAACAACATCGCTTTCTCACGGAGATCCATATTTAATTTACCACTTCATTTCATTTGAAATACAATTAACCAATAATTTGTAAAACACATGTATATTTTTATGCATCAAATCATTATTGCAAAGATTCATAAATATTACCTTACTTCGTAAATTTTCTTCTTAATCCATATGATCATAATACATTTCACTATTATTTTGTGTTAGAGGTAAGCCACGCAAATATATTTCTTTGTAGAATGTCAAGCTATGGAATTAATTATTATCAATTGTAAACAAACATAAATTTATTATTATTTTATCGAATGTATTAAAATAGTGCTGAAGAAATTTGCTCGAGTAAATGTTATTAATTTCCTTGATTTCATCAAAGAAATGCAAGATGAGTTCGTAACAAAAATTTATCAAAAATTCATCAGTAATTAGCTGTTTGTTAATTAGAAAACTTTTTCGATTTCTTGGGAGTTGGGAGAACTGATTCCCTCGAATTCGTTTTCTTATTGATTATTCTAAAGAACGCGACAAGTGTCTACCACAGAACAGAATGCTTTCGGGAAGGATTTACTAAAGGGAAGGGCTGTTATTCACAATATATAGGAACTCAAAAACTAGCATGCAACAAGCCTTTTCGTGGTGTTGAATTCCTGGTGTTCATCGCTTTTATCCTCTCAGCCCTTGGTAGGTCGCCTTCAAAATTAATAAAAGCTTTATCTATTAAACTAGTGCCAGTCTAAAATTTAATTTTTGCCACCCCTCTCCCATATATGTGTTTTGTTTAGGAGTAGCAGTTGAAAGAAAAAGGGGTCTATACCCCAATTACCAAAGTTTAACGTAAATTGACTTGTTTAGGAATAGCGGCTGAAAGAAAAAGGCTGTGATGTATTTAAGTATCTATATCCACTATTAAAGTTTAACTATAAGATTTCAATGAAAGTTTAGCTATCAGTGAATTTCATTAAAATCCGCCTTTTGATAGCTGACAGGATTTTCATTGCATATGATAACATTATTAATGAATTTAATTAAAGATTTTCAGGTTTCTCATGTTTTATTTATTTATTTATTTATTTTTGTTCTAATTTTCGAAATTTATTTTTATTTATTGCTATTGTATTAATGTAAAAGGAATGTGTTTCCACTTCTGTTAACTCACATTTCAAAGTAAATGTAGAACTGAAGGGTCATTCAATATAATTAAGTAATCCAGTATGAGGAACAACAGTATTTTTCATGTTTTTGGATATGTTTCACATGTTGAAAAAAGTACCGTTATGTTTTTAAGGCTTATTTTTTGTTTCAAGTTATCTGCTCATTGTTTCAAGTAGTCTACTTATATAAGAAATGGCTAGGTTGTTAAAAGTTTGTGAAAAATTACCATTTTCTTAGCTGCCGACTTTCCCCATTTTTTGACATATCTCCTGGTAGATCATGAATTTTCCTGGGTTTTTTTTTTTAGTCTTTGCTAATGATAGTGTTTTCCAGCAATAAAATTTTATTGTGAATATGGGGAAAGTGCAGAATCACCCACTGCTTGGCGCATTTTAAGAATTGCACAAACATGGTATCCATGTATACATCGACCTATTTTCACTTAAAAAAAAAAAAAAATCAGAGAATTGCACAAATTCGGCATCGCTCACTCCCTTGACCTTGTCCATGTACACATCAATGTATTTTCACTTAAAAAGTCAAAGGAAATTGATAAAAATCCAATTCTTCTTACTCTTGTAAAAAACACCAAACATAATGTGCCAAATAAATGGATGATTCTGTACTTCACCTACACTCATTTACTCCTAATGTTCTTCAGCGTACTTTTATTATCAAATTTTATTTGATCTGAATTGTCTTAATCTGCTGTAAACATAAAACTTTGCAAAAAATTTAACCAAATATGTATTCGGTAAATATTTGTACTTATATTTTACATTATAAGTTTACCTACACATTATTATTAAGTTTATATAGTATGTACATTAATTGCTAATTTTATTTTTATCATGTTTAAAAGTACTTTGATAAATTAAAGGTTTCCTTCTGTATTTAGTATTTTCTCAGCATAAAAAGGAAATCACAAAAGGAAGTTAACCAAAGAACATAAAATTTAGAATATGTTTACTTTAATATATTTTATGCTCCTTGAAGAGTCAAATAAATTTAATCATGCATTATAAAATTAATTAAAATTAATTTTGAATTCTGAAATGATGCTGTCATGCAGTGTGAAAAACTTACATAATCTCCCGGTTTTGGGGGTCAATAACCAGGTCTGTAGTAAGACTTCTAGAGACTGTAAGCATTAAAATGACCGGATAAATCCGGTCATCAGAAGTTTTACTACTTGGCATATATTAGCTTATAATTTAAGATATTTTGCTTTCTTATTTTCTTTAATAATGCAAATATCATCTTAATGAATGTAAGTTTGTGAAAATGCAGACTAAAATAAGTAATTACTCAAACTCAATTAATAAATGCTGTTTAAATACCAGTCTTTATGACGGAAACTTTTTCATCTTGCCGATAACATGCTGGTTTTTCATATTTCAAGGTTGACAGCTATGCATTACCTTTTGATCTTTTTATTCAGTTCTTTTTATTGATATTTTCATTTTCAGTGAATATATGTTTTATGGCTTAAGATTTTGAATTTAAAAATTTACATAAAATTAAAATGTAAGTTGTATTAATATTGGTTTTAAGTTATGAATTTTTCAGTGAGTGATTACAAATGCTCTCATCAAAAGTGTTAACTTTATCTTGAGTTCATTTCTTAATGTTGTAAGCCAGTCCACCTCCTCTATTATCAACAGAGCAATAATTTTACTAAAAGAGAAAAGGATAATATTCATAGAATGAATCATGAAATGTTGCAGACGTTTCACGGTTTATAGTTTGGCAAAAATTTTGCAATCTGAATTTACACTAACGGTTTTATAAAAATTAATGATCTGAATATATATATTAAGATTTCCAACCCATTTTTTATAAAATTGGAATGTAAATAACTAGCACATAGCTAAATGAGCATCATATTTTGTATGTCTTCAGACTGGTATTTATGTTTGTAGATCAGTCACAAATCTCTAAAACTCCCTAAGAATTTGAAATAATAATTCCGTGAATTCTGAAACAGTCATTTTAACACCCTTTATTTTGAACATGTAATACAAATGCACTTTTCTTGAACTAGAGTTCTCACATACTTTGCATAATTAATTAATTAATTAGTTTTCATGAGTTTGACTAATTTTGAATTGTGAATTTTAAAACTTTATATGGCACTTGATTATTACCTTTCGCCCACTGGCGGAAATTTTGGCAACTTTCACCAATCACCAATCGTTACTGCCAAATTCTAAAGGACAAAGTCATATATAATTGGCATTAAATTACACTACTTGTCCTGTTGATGCGATAATACATAAGTACCCTTCAAATATATATATATATATACAGTACAAAGTCTGTAATCCAGACGTCCATTATCTGGAATGATCTATAATCTGGACCTCAAAGCCATAAACTTTTTTTTTTTTGTATGCTTTACGCATGTGCGTAGTGCATTTATGCATGCACGTTTAATGTTATGCATGTGCGTTTAATGTTTACGCATGCTTGTTTAGCACAAAAAATTGAGCAACTTAAACAACTTACATTAAAAGAAATGTTTAATAAAGTAAACAAATAAATATTGAGCTTTTTTTTTTTTTGCAAATTTTGATACCCTTTAGATCATAATTGCTCTTTATTTCATAAATTACTGTTTCATATTTTTAATTGTATAAATTCTGCATGCCATCTTACCAGATTTAAAGTGATGATCTATAATCCGGAAAAACCCTTAATTCGGAATCGCTGAATCCCGACGAGTCTGGATTACGGACTTTGTACTGTATATTACAGTTTCAGAAAGAAGATCAGTTGAATCCAATCTACCTCCTTTTGATAGCACCGAATCAGATTTTTATCACATTCCTCTTCCTACATATTTTTTGTAATTTTTGTATTTCCCATTTCTGTGGTTTAGTGACTGTTGGTTGATTTTTTACATATTTATAAGGAATTTTAAATTTTGCTTGTTTTGAATTTCATTTCTTTTGTTTCTTTCTGTATTTGGTTCTAAATTTCTTATTTTTGTCTATACATACACACACACACACTAAAGAAAATTTGCTTAACTGAAATTATTGTGGTGTTGGAATCAGAAAAATGCCATTATTTGTCTACTCTTCTGTTTGATGAAGGCTGTCCACAGATTCAGTGAATGTCTCCAAGTATTTTTGGCAACTTGCTAAATAATTTTGTTGTGATTTGGAGGTTTTTCAGTCTAGCCCTAACTAGTATTCTAATGTATGTATATAATATAGTATGAAATATCACATTTATGTGTATACATATATGTATAAAATATATATTTAATAAGTGAACTGAAATTCATTGAAATCGAAATAAGTTTCTTAATACTTGCGCAATAATTGCAAAGTAATTATTTAGCCAATATTAATCAGGATAGCTCCAAAGTCACGTTTTACAATCGTCGAAGATCTGTACACTCGCTGGAACAATCAGCGACACAGCCTCACACTATCAGGCAATAACGGTGGAGACAGCTTCACTGCAAAGCACCAGAATACAGCTCCTGACTCTGCCCGGTCGTTCTCGGAACTTTCAAGACTCTCAACTCTAGAACTCGCAAGGCACTCAACAACACACAGAGCACAGCTCCCGACTCTTCAGTTCATTTGCTCCCGGAGCTTAACACACTCTCTCAATGATGCACTAACCACGATACACTAAAGGACTCTTCGATGTACTCGACGACCCACTCGGCACTCGCTGGTCGGCTGTCAACTAGATTGTCTCCAAGCAGACTAGCTAGATGAGACACACTAACTGACTGCGGACCGGGAGGGTTTATATGGCTTTCGGCTTGTGTTTGAGAACATTCTGGGCTAAACCAGTAACCATTCGTTCCAGAAGGTTCTCCATCCGTCTACGGCATATTGCCAATTTTGTCGCCAAATGGAGATTTCTCGCCAAATATGGCAACACTGCATTCCCTTGCCATTTTATGGCAACCCTAAACCTTCTTTGCAGAGAAACCTTCTATTCTCACCGTGCCTGTATATTTTGTAACACTGCCCCTTTCCAAGGACTGCACGTCCCGGGCAGAACAACGCTTGGTCAGAAGCCAAATTCAATGCAATTGAAATGTTTTAAAACATACAGATAACTAAAGAAACAAATATTTACCCTATGTACAAGTTACATACACAAATTAAACACATCACAATTTTAATCACAAATTAATGTTAAGATTGAATTTCATTCTCAGTCTTTTCATTAAAATATACCCAGGTCAAATACTTTTCCACTGCAGTTCTCAGATGTATTTCTGTTTTGCATATCACAGTCTGAAGATGTCCTTTCAGACTTGTCATCCACAGGAAGAGGTGAAACAGTTTGTTCACCACTCTGTAGTTCATTCGCAGCATGCATACAGTTCACCTCGGTATTTTTAGCAGTTGGTAGATGCTTATTTATCTCTATTTCCTGAAAACCAGTTCCGATGTTTGCATTAGAATCATGAATAGAATTCTATCCTTTACAAGCAGAAGTATCCAGGTTTAGAATCAAGTCCTTGTCTGCAAAACCTGCAGTATGAAGCACACACCCAGTTTGTGAGGTGGGCGAATTTTCCTGTAATACTGGAGCACACTTTTTAAGCTGTACATCAGCTTCACCCATCTCCGCATCAAATAAACATTCAGATGGTTCAATACTTGCTAACTGTGACTTCGTAATTTCACTTTCAGAACAGACGAACCTAACAGTCACATTTTCACTTTCTTCCATTTCCACTTCAGGCACTTGAGAATCAAAAGCTGGAACTGTGTATGGGAAATTCTAAAGATATGCTCATTTTAAAATTATTTTGCGACATTGCTGTTGAACTGAATTTTATGGTTTAAGTGCAAAGAGCATGATAATAAATAAATAAAGGTAACACACAAAACGTTTAAAAAATGCCTCTTTGGACGTAATTTAAAATTTGAAACCTTTAAGATTTTTTTGGTTAATGATGGTTCATTTTAAATATTAACCATAAGCAATGTCCCTTTAATATCGTCACTAAATAAAGGTGCTTGCTGGAAATTTGTACGACTGCGCCGATTAGCCTGTGCGCGGGCCTGACCATACTACGGATTTCAGTATCTATTAGTTAATTGATTATTGAGGCATTGTTATTGCAATAGAATACTTCTATTATATTATCTTCATTTATTACCATTTCTTCACAAATTTCATAAATTTGAAAATTTCGCTTTTGTTTTGCTCTAACTGAAAACCTTCACATTTGCGTGCGAGCATCCGCTATATATTATTGGCAATATATCATAAGACTGACAACAAAAGACAAGTTTTTCCATTAAATTTTGTCTTGCTTTTATCACACACTAAGGAAGTTATGCCTTAATTACTGTACGTATTTAGTTATTTATTATACTTATATCTATTTACCTCATACGCTTAAGTCCCGAATAAATTAATTCATACATATAAATAAGGCTTATCGGAACAACAAATCAGTTATTCTTAATACAAGCAATGCTAAATATAATCTTTTAGCCTATGAATATCATTTACAAAATTTATTTTTTGCTTATGGAAAGAAATTTATGTTAAATTTCTTTTTGTCAACATATACAACACTCTGCAGTGCAATTGGCTGAATATGTAATTGTTGCCAAGCATAATGTCAGTATAAAATTGGCATCGCCAAACTATGGTTCTCTGACCAAGTCTGCCCTGCCATTTGTTTTTAATCCAGCCTGTGGGATGATATTGTTTTTTACATGAAAACTAAAACAACTTGAGCATTATTTTGCAATGGTTACACTTGAGGGGAAAAATTGAGAATAATAACCCCAAGTGGAGCTACTTGTTTGTCATTGTTTTTAAAAGCACTTCCAACCTGCAAATGTTTGTGCATTGTATGCAGCGAAAGCGTGTTGACAGTTCTGCTATAGTGGTGTGCATGGTATCGTCTGTCAAGGTACAGTGCAATATCTTATTTAGTACATACTGTTACCATGTATAAGAAACATGGTATAAGGTATGTTACCGTGGTATAAGAAGAAAAAAGTAGACCTCGCTGCATACAATGCACGAACATTTGCAGGTTGGAAGTGCTTTTAAAAAAAATGACAAACAAGTAGCTCCACTTGGGGTTATTATTTTCAATTTTTCAAGTAGAATGGAGTGCTAGTTATTTTTCCATAGAATTAAATGACAAAGTTTTATATTCAATATGCTATAGCATAATAGCTGTCTGAAAAGAGTACAATATATGTCATCATTACCAAAATATGCATGTGACATGGTGTTCATATCTTACAGAAAATGAATGATCATTAAAATTTGAAAGTTTAAAGCAGAATGCGTCATCGCAATGCAATTTATTCATAAACTAAAAAATGATAATGAAGCAGTAAGTAAAAGTCAGCTTACAAATAAATTGTTTAAGGCACATCAAGATTCACTAAAAAGAAAATGCAAAAACTTTTAAATGATATGATTTTCATTAAGTCCTGATGAGGCAACAGATGTTACTGATACTGCCCAATTGCTGATATATATTTGAGAGGTCAGTGCTGAATTAGAAGTGATTAAAGAATTAGTGTGTATGAGTAATCTGCTTGTGAAAGCTATATAAGTGAAGATATATTCAAGGAAATCGATAAAACACTAACACAATACAGTTTAAAATGGAATCGCTTAAAATGTGTCACAACTGATGGTTGAAAAAGTATGTGTGAAATCAGCAAAGGATTAGTTGGAAAAATTTTTAAGGCTTGTGAAGATGCTAAATATTTAAAACCTCTGGTAATTCATTGTATTGTTCAGCAGCTAGCTCTTTCTGGAAACACTGCTATCTGTCATGCCTTATTAAACTAGTTGTATCAGTAGTAAACTTCATTTATTCTCTTGGACTTAACCATAACCAGTTTTGTAAGTTTTTATTAGGGATTGACAGAGCTATAGCTAAGGTTTTCAGCACCCAGGGACAACTGAAGATTTTGCACCACTTTCGGTGTGCCAAGAATAAAAAAGTTTCATTTTAAAATTCCGTTACATCAATTTGGCGTCCACTGGATGCTGCGCCCGGTGATAGGTGTCCTCCCTTGCCCCACACTAGCTATGCCATTGGGAACTGAAGCTGAATGTCCTGACTTATTATAAGCTGTTCAATGGCTGAACAATGGGAAAGTTTTTTTTTTTTTTTTGAGATTTTTTTAATTGATAGAAGCCATAGATATTTTTTTAAAAGAGAAAAATCAGATTGTTATTGAACAGTGAATAGCTATGAAAATTAGTATTTGCCACTGATGTCATGAGATATTTTAACAAATTCAGTTTAAAATTACAGGAAAAAACAGTGCTTGTGATATATATTCTATTATAAAGGCATATCGCCAAAAATTTGCATTGTTTGAAATGCAAATAACATTAAATAAATTTGATCATTTTCCATGCTGTAAAAAATTTCAAATATTAATGAAATATCTGTTCCCAAAAACATTTGTGTAGGATATATTTTGTGAACTTATACTACAATTACGACAGCATTTTGCGGATCTTGATGCAAGTAGAAAAGACATTTCCATATTTCAAAATCCATTTGACTGTAAAATTGAGGGGCTTTTATCAGACCTTCAACTGGAAATGATTGATTTCCAAAATAATATGTTAAAAATGGTGTTTGCTAAATGCAGTTGCTTAATCATAGAATTCATCTGAATTTTCTAAAAAAAAAATCAGCAATGAATCAAAGTTTCATTTAGAAGATAAATTTTGGAGTTGTTTGCAGTGCAGGATTTCTATTATAGGCACTATGGACAATTTTTTGCTGCTGTGCTATTAATAAAAACATATTCCTCTTTATCATTTTTCCCCAGTATACTTGAAGTTTTTATTTCTAGTTATCAGTCTTTAAATATGAGTGTTAATTCTCAGTACTATTCCTTTTTAAAGGGCTCACTGTTAACTCTTTTTAATATTAATTTCTAAATTTTAAGGTTTTGAACTTAATTAAAATCAGTGGAGGAGACCATAAAATAGTAGCTCCTTGGTAACCATACTTCACAATATCAGCAATGGAATATATCTATGGGTTATATCTATATAGAAGAAGGCATATAACATAAAATTTAACTTTTTGTATTTTACTGCCAACTTTGCAACATGTGAGCTCGCTGTTGTTAAGTTTATCTGTATTTATTATCAAAACCAATTAATAATGGTATTTATTATATATTAGAACTGATATAAGAATAATACTTTATATATATAATTAATATATTTGTGCACTTTATTAATGTTTACGAAGTGTTGAGTAACAGTATGGACTTTAATTACTTTGAATTTACTTGTAAACTATGATACTTTTTTTTACTTTTAAAAATATTGTTTTCTTACAGAAATTCTGGAGAACTCATCAAGATCAAGCGGTCATATTTTTAGCTTTTAAAAATATTCTTTTCTAATAGAAATTATGGAAAACTCATCAGGACCAAGTGATCTGGATTTAAACAAAGAAAAACTTCTTGTTATGAAGGATGAGTATCGTCGTCTGTGTTATGAAGCCAGAAAGAAAGAATCTCTCTCTCATTCTACTCACGCCAAGATGCAACAACAGATTCGACAACAATGGTAATTTCTTTTGTATATATATAAAAGATTTCCGGTTTCGGATTCCGGTGTTAGAATCACTGTTGCTGTAAAATTTCAACAGCTTTTCTTTATTTTTCTGTACATCATACACAATTGTGTCGCAATTCCATACGATTCTGCTATAAACTGAGGAGTAGCACCTGCCACCATCTTTTGCAGAATTTGCACTTTTTGCATTACCGTCAATGCAGCGTGTTTACGTTTCTCAACGTTACAAGCAGCAAAATCATGAGTGCGTTTCTTATCTGTAATTGTATTAAAAAGTGCTGAAATTTAAAATATTCTTAATTTATCCACAAAATAGCCAGATAAAAAAAATGGCAGCACTAAATAATCTCGTTAAATAACAAAGCTCAGAAAATACAATAACGTGAATCGTGAACTTGAAAGAAGACTTGGGTGAATCGTCTGCTTTTTTACCTCGATGCAGAATAGAGGGGAAGAAACTTTTATCATGATGTCAATAATTTGGTATTTCCGTTATGACTCAATATTATTCGGTAATTATGATGTCATTATTCGATAAGTATTTTTTCTTCGATATTTTGTACTCAATATTGCGGTTTCCGGAACCTATAAACTGAATGTTTATATTTTGAAAGGCAATGCGGATTTCAGGTCAACAGAATTTCGGTATTTGACTGTATTAAACGCTAAGTGTAAGTATGATTAGTTTAGGGTGCTTATAAAGCAAATGATTAGTAGATATGAAAGTAACTGAGTAAAGAAATATAAGCTGAATATTGTTGTCACTTAGTATATTAACACAGTACAGTTTGATAATTTTTTTTTATAAAAAAGTAGAATGATGTCTTGTAATTGGAAAAAAAAATAATTTCATACCTATTTTATGTTTAAGTATTTTTAGTGAAAATCAAGCAATAAACTTACTTAAAAGTTTCTTTTTCCCTCTTGTTCTGGAGAAAATTTTGGTGATTGCTTTGAAGAACAGATTTAAAGCAGTTGTTTCCTTTGCAGAAAAATACTGTATTTATTTTCTACTAATTATTTTATTACAGACTGAGCCAGTACCAGGCATTTTTCTACTTGGTGCAGTTTCTGTGAGTTCTAAATTCAGCTGTCTGGAAACTCCCTAAATTCTAAAACTGTCGCCATCGCAAAGTTTTGCTGCTCATTACATCTGTAAAGTCTTAAAAAATTTACCATCCTTAAATTCTGCTGCTGATATGACTGTACCAAACATGCTGCCTCTAGTGTTGTCCCTGATTATTATTAATACAGAATGATCTTGATGAAAGCGATGTTTAAATACAGTCTTTTCTGCTGAGAATGTATAATTCTGGCATGTGTTGTGGCATAATTTTTGCTTCAAAGCAGTGCTAAGAATGAAAAACTCATGTTCATTTTTATCATGTTCTGTTCTTTTATTTTTTAAAAAAGAAAAGAATGCTAGTTAGTTTGCTTGCAAAATTTATATGTAAAATATATGTGGAAAAAGTGCTATTTCTGATGACATGACTCAAAGCTGTTTTGAAAAGTGTGGAAATTTTTACCTCAAAGATGATGCACACTCTGGACATCCATCTGTAAACAAAGACCTATTAAAAGAAACTGTCACTGAAAATCTAAGTTTTACAATTCAAGAACTATAAGACAGAATAAATATTCCAAAGGGTACATGATCATTTCAAGAAGATTATGTATGTAAGCTATTTTGATATATGGGTACCTCATACTTTAACAGAGCAGAATATAATTCCTTGGGTTCTGGCTTGTGTTTTTATTGCAAAAAGATAAAAAAAAAGTTCTTTTTAAAAAAAAAAAAAAAAAAAAGCTCATTATTGGCAATGAGAAGTGCAATAATGTTAAAAAGAAAAACATCATGGGATAAGCCCAAAGAGCCACCTTTAGTAGCATCAAGGGAGGGGGGAAGTGCTGCATCCTAAAGAAATAATGCTTTGTATACCCTGGCACTCTACTATAATTGTATACTTTGAAATGTTGCCACCAAATCAGATAATAAATTTGAAAAAATATTGTTCCCAGTTGGCAGTTTTAAAAGCAAAAATTGGATCAGAGTGTCCCAAATTGAATTGATCAGTCTTTGAGGTATTGGCTTTCAAATTTCAATTTCAATAAATTTCATACAAAAACTTACCAAGTATGGCTGAGATGTTTTGTGCTAACCATATTTACTAGATCTTGCCCTGTCGGATTTTCATCTTTTTAAGTCACTTTAAAAATCAGTGAATGGCCTGGAATTCACTTCTTTGGAGACTGTCAAGCAGCACACATTGGTAATTTCTGCATGTTAAACAGCATGCCAATAATAATAATAAAAAATCTAATGACCTTTTTTTAAAAAAAGGATTTTTCCTTCTACATGAGAGATGACAAAAAGTCATAGGATAAAATGTTGCTTATGGAATTCAGTGAAAGTTCCTTATGTTTTCTGCTGCTTCATTTGTATTTATTATACTTATAATGAATACAAATGAATCGTTAATCCGGACTCGTCGGGACTTCGGTGATTCCAGATTATCGATTTTTCCGGATTATAGATCATCAGTTTAAATCTGGTAAGATGGCATGCAGAAATTATAAAATTAAAAATATGAAACCCTAATTTATGAAATAAAGAACAATTATGATCTAAAGGGTCTCAAAATTTACAAAAAAAAAAAAAAAAAAACTTAATATTTATTTGTTTACTTTATTAAACATTTCTTTCAATGTAAGTTGTTTAAGTTGCTTCGTTTTATGTGATAATACTTTCTCTTTAATTCTATAAACAGACATAATTTCTTCTTCAGTTACAAAGTTCCGCTGTTCAAGTCCTATAATTGCTGTGTCGAGAATACCGACTAATTTGTCAATCGGAATTTTTTCGTTTTCAGTAACCTCTGTGTTACTTTCTTCGCTATCGGAAGTGAATTATCTCATAATCAAGTTTTAAATTATATTTCTGAGATATTTTAAAAATATGCCTAATAACTGTGTGCACATGAAAATTTCACAGCTAATTTAAATGCTGCTAGTAAAAAAAAACACGGAATTCTTAGAGTTTTGCGATTAATAAAAGTTAACTGAAAGAATATTAGATTCAATAGGTACCAAATTATCAAAAAATTGAAGTTTGTTTTTATTTTTTTATATCCTTTATTTCATGTCACTATTATTTCATATCCTTTACTGTGTTAACTTTTTTAATTTCCTTTTATAATTGCTATAATCTTATAGTTAGCATAGTAACTTTTCATTTTTAGGGAAATTCTAGAAGAATTAAAAAAGAAAAAGTCTGAGTTAACCTTGCAACTAAGACTTCAGGATTCTGAAAGCTTTTCAAACAAGGGAAATAAAAATTTTCAACATTTTCTCAAGTCATTGGAAGATATGGTGAACCTTGAAGAACAAGTGAAGAAGCAAGCAAAAGCTCTTGAGCAATATAAGAACGAAGTAAAATTTTATGATATAATTATTATTTTTTCATAGACATGAAGCAAAATTCTGAATTTGTTAGAATTATGTTACAGTAAGAGAAATATGCCTATGTAAAACTTAAAATTATTTCTGACAGAGGCACCTATATCATATTTACTTGAAAGTCTAATTTAAAAAGTAAATTTATTATTTCATATGTATGATAAAAAAATTGGTATATTTTGATTATCCACAACCCCAGCGAAAAGTTGAGAACTTAATGGCAATTGTGAAGAGCATTTGCAAATTCATTGGTTACCAATTTTTTGCAAAGCTAACGCAAAAGGTAACGTGCCTTTTCAAAACAGCAGCACATTTAGAATTCCATACAAGAGCAATCAGTCAATAAAACTGAAAAGGAAAAAAACATTCGTAACAAAACCGTTACTGTTTTATGAGAAATTTTTTTTTCACTGTTGTTTTACCCATGTACACAGTGAGCTGTTTTCAATTGTAAAAACATTAAAGAATCGCACAAACTTGGCATTGCATACTGGCCAAAACAGACACATGCTACATGCATACCTAAGTTGCCACATAATAGTTTTTGCCAACATTGTTGGTTTGCCACATAATTACGTTGGTGACATAAGTACTTTCACATGACTTTTCGGTGGAGGCGCAAATAATCAGAAAGTACCGATGGGTGTAAATGATGTACTTTATTTTATCGTGCAAGAAATTTAATTGTACCTAAATTTTATTGTATTTAATTTTTAGATTTTTGGTTGTATATAAGCATACCTCATTTTAATGCATTCCACAGTTGTTTATGTGTTTTTTACTAGTCAGAAGAGGGAAGTCATGTATTCAGCCAATTATCACCACCATGTTAACAGTCACGTTTGCTCGTTAAGCATCTCCTTGTCACTGAATATTATTATTATTATTATTATTATAATGGAAACCAGGCTAACTAATATTCAGCTTCTGTATGCACTAATTTCTTCTAAAACCACATTTAGTAGTTTAATTTTCAAAATATTGCTATTAAGACTGTTTTGGCAATAAAATTTGCTCGCTCGGTATCCCTGTGTTGTAAACTAGTATATTTCAAACATTTTTAATTATTATTTTATCAGAGGTACCAACTCTCTTAATTTAGGCAGGAAACTCAAGATTTTCGATTGTACACCCACGAACCTGATTTTTAACATATTTGGTACTTACGTACAATATCACTTACTGTAAAACTATCACCAAGCAGCTCAGTTTAGCTGCAATTATGGATAAGCCATGATGTCGAAACACACGTATAACATCTACCCTTTCATATGATGTAATGTTGATTGATTCTTCATAAGTCATGTTTTGATTTTATGAAAAAGATTATAAATTAAATGCTGTTACTGTATTTGTTTCTGCCTTTTTTTTGGGGGGGGGATGATTAAAATTTGGAACCTGCCTTCTGCAGAATAGCAAGAGTGGAGTATCCTACCGTAAAAGAAGTCTGTATTAATGACATGATATGGTACTTTATTTAAAAATGGATGAACAATGGCAATGTTATATGAATATCCATTCGAAAAGAATATTAAATTGAGCAGTGTAGAACTGTGCTTGTGACTGCACTCTGGTTCAAATGCAGCTCAGGAGAGTAAACATCTGCTAAATGGGGAAAAATATCTGAATATGGCCAACAAAATAGCAAGGATAACTTCATTGGCTTATAACAAATGGAAAAAAAAAAAGACATTTAAAATGATTTCAGTTGTTGGACATTGATTCCTGTGATATTTTTCTGTGAACTTAAATATTCCGACTGTCTTATATTACTTACATAAGCTTGACCTTATTACTTACATAAGCTTGACCTTGCCAATCACAGACCTTGGTTTCTGCGAAAGTTATGATTAAAAAAGAAGTGCTGAAGTCTATGGAACAAAGGACTGCATCAGATTCTGACCTGGTTTTCCAAACAATTTGCAGAGTTTGTCATGAGTGGAGAATTTGGTCATATTTTCACATCCTTGTTATTTCCCAGATTTCACTGCTAGTGTTTTGATTTTGAGATTGATTAATTGAAACTTTTGTTTTTTAACTTTGGATGTTAGAGAACTTCTTTTTAGATATTTTTTGTAACATTCCTATTTTGTAATATTTCAATAATTTTTATTGTCCTCTTATTTCACACCTTTTGCAATCAAAATCTTTCTAAAAGTATGCAAAACAAAAGTGTGAAAAGAAATAAAATATACTGATTGTTTGGGTTTTTGTCATTAAAGTATTTTGACTTCATTTACAAATTAATTTGTTTAATTAAGATGTTTTGACATCATATAAGCTTAAATCTCTCCTGTCTAGATTGCAGACACCGATAAGAAAATTAGGCAGAAACAGAAAGAAATTGTCCAAGCTAATCGAAGTAAAGACAGAATAGAAAGACATCGAAAGAATATTTCATTCTTGGAAAATAGACTGAATAGTGTAAGCAACTTATTTATTTATTATTATCTACCATTGACTCCTTATTAACTAGGTTAACATTGGAGATGTCATGCACATTTAAACCCAAATCACTGTTAAGCCAACAACAGGTAAAAAAAAAAAAAAAAAAAAAAAAAAAAAAAAAAAAAAAAAAAAAGTTGTTGTACTAAAGAAGAAAAACCCATACTATAATTAATAGAAAAATGCTGTTAATAATTTATATGAATTTTTAAGCAGTATAATTTGAAGAGTATCTTCATTTAGTTATATAAATTAAATCAGCATTCAAAACAAGATGAACACATGTGCAAACAGAAAGAATAATGTTTTTGTTTTTATTACTCTTGTATTTTGATAGAAGGGTAATAAAGCTGGAAATTTGAAAGAAAGGAATATTAATAGCTATATACTTAATTTCTTTTTATTAATTGGCAATTAAAATTTTTAATGGATGATTTAACAATGTTTATATATTCCATATTATCTGTTAGTATAAAAACAATTCCTAATCTACTGTAACATCATCTATCACTTCTGTTATCCCACACAATTTTTTCTACTTTTTGTATTTCCTGAGAAATTTTTACTTTATTGTGATGGTTTAAAGTAATGATATTTAAATCATTCCTCAGTTAAGAAAACTTAACATTTTAAAATAAGATGAGATTAGTTTGCAGTTGATATTTAACTCAATGTTTTAATACTTAATTTCTTGACTTTAATATTTTGTATTCATAAATTTAATTTTTTAAATAATATGTTTAATAAATATTTAGTAATGTTTTAAAAAATTGCATGCTCATTGGTTTTAAATGTTTTAAATTCAAATTAAATTTAAGTAAATGTATTAGATTATATGTAGGGTATTCAGTTTAAAACAAAACAATCAGTTTATAAATTGTATTTGTAATATAAATATAATATGAAGTATAGATAATTTGTATATAGTAAATAGATAATTTGTATATAAAGTAAAAATATTGTATAGATAATTTGTATGTAAAGTAAGAGCCCTACTATTCAGCATTCAACTAAACAGAAAGCTCAATCAACTAGAATATTTTAGAATTTTAGAAAAAAAAAAAAAAGAAAAAAAACTTTCCTTCCCCCCCAAAAAATTAATGAAACAGATTGTTTGTAATGCCAGTATAGAGCTTATAATATTATTAATGCATATACATTGTCGCCAAGCAGCATGATTTAGTGCCATTAATGGATAAGCATGATATCCCAACACAAATCATAAGAAATTTGTTTTCATTTAAATATAAATTTGATTAATCTTCAATAAGCCAATTTAAATTTTACAAAAAAATATAAGTTCTATTTTTTCCTCACATTTTGAAAAAATGATTAATGTTTGAGATTTTGTGAAGTAGAGTATATTCAAAGGTGTAGAATCCAGGCATTAAAAAAAGCCACAATATGCGACTTTCAAAATGGTTGAATAATGGTGATGCAACATAAAAAATTATAATAAATGATTTAAGTTTTTCACATATTCTATCAGTAATCTGTATCACTTTATTATTTAAGTAAATAGCTTTGTTCATTTCAACATCTACCAGAATGATTGTCGACATCTCCACCAATTTTCTTGTTTGGTGCAAAATTTTGTCTTTTTCTTTTTTAAATCTTGTATAATTTTAAATATAGGCTTTTGATATTCAAGTTAATAACAAATAAGGTGATTGTTTTATAATTTTAGAGTGTTAATTTTTCTCATTTGGCTTTTCTAATGTGAATTCCTTTTTTTATATGCTCAACCATCCAGAATTCAGCATTTTCCATGCTTTCTGAATAGTCAAGCTCTTACTATATTTGTGAAACAGAATGAACCATTTGTGAATCAGTAAATGCATATATTTGTGATAATAACTTGCCCAACTTTTGTGGAAATTTTCTTTCTAGTTCAGTGCATTTGTTTGCATGTTTTATCAAGTTCTTGATGATGATATGAAATTTTTAAGTATGCGTATTTTGAATGGCAGCAGTAATTTCATTGTCAAGTTTCATAAAGTGGGGTATTGTTAATGAAAACAGTTTGTTTTATTTAAATATTGCCATTAAAAGAGTTTAGACTGGTCAGATTGATCACAGTCTTGTATAATTCTATCAAAACAAAATAAATGAATTGTTATATAATAATCTTTTATGTATTTTATTTATTTTGATTATTTATTGAAAAATATTCTTTTTTTTACATTAATAGATTATCAACTATATTAGGAAGCAGTTTGTGAAGAACATGAGAAAGGCTAATTTTAACAATTAGGAAGTGATCAAAAGATTTAAAATTAATGGTTGAATAAATGAGAAATAAATTATTGGTAGATATAGGTAAATGAACGAGATTTAAAATATTTCCTGAATTTTATGTAGTAATAAGTGATATAAATTATTTGTAATATTTGAACAGAGTCTCAACAAGTATAATCAACTTCTGATTGCAAATAATGCTTTACGAGAAGAAATCAGTTCCCTTCTCCTTACACAAAGTTCTTTTCGAAGGAAATATGCTCATATCAAACATTTACTAGCAGTTGGTAAAAAGACATGGTCTGAAGTCATACATTCTGCAACTGTATCATATCAAACTGGGTAAGAGAAGCTATTGAATTTTTATTGAAGGAAAATATATTTAGTTTGAAAATTATTTTATAAAACTAAAAGTCATTAAACTGAAATGACTAGAACAAATTTAAAGTAAAATCATTTTTATTTTTGATTTATAATGTTTATTATATGGAAGGTTGGAAAAGCCACAAAATAAATAAGCCACACCAAAATTTCACTTATTAGATCTGATTTTTTTAAAACCTGAATTGTTTATTGTCAATTTATTTGTGAATATTATGTATTAAATTTGTGTCAATTTATTTGTTAATTTATTGATAAAATAGGAAGTGAATGATATCTAAAGTGATGTAACTTTTAGTTTAGTTTGTAGCTTATACATTTTAATGAAGAAATAATTATCTTATTTGCTGGCATATGGGATGCACCGGCCTATAAGATGCACCCCCTTTTTGATACACGCTTTTAAAAGATAAAACTTTATTACTGGTCATTATAATGAATTTACAGTATTTTAAATATAAAGTAATACAAACACAAAGTCTGGCATCTTTTGCAATATTTTTGTTTTAGTCTGCATACATAGCTGGTTTCTCTGAATCTTGAAAAACACCAATCCAGTAAAACTTGTCAATCCAATAAAATCAGCAATCTCTTTATCAGTCGCTATCACTTTCGCTTGATAAATAATCATTTTTGCAGAGATTGAAAGTCTTGCTCTTCTGTGGTCTAAAATCCAAGTATTCAGCTCTGCTTAAAAGTTCAGACCATTATGCAGTTCCTTTTTGTAGGTTATGTGTACTGTGAGTTGCTTTTTTTTTAGATTCTCTTCCTGATTCCGCCAAGCTCTTATCATTTTCTCAGTTGGGGATGGCCTGAAATGCCTCTCTGCGGCCCTGTTTTCATGTATTTTATCATACGCAATCACATGTAACTTGTATGCGATATTATAATAATGCCAACATTGTTGTTTAGCTATAATTTTATTTATTTACTTAAGAATTTAAGAAAACTGAACAGTAGAAATTTTGCACACTTGGAAGTCGTTCACAAAAGTTGGAAAGTTTAAATGAGCCCAGCTGTGACCGTCATTGATAGTACATGCACATTCGCTGAACTCTACATGACTGTAATATTCCCACACTCCGCAAGGAAACAAGAAAAAAAAAAAAAAAATCGCATAACTCCGAATAGGGGAAATTTCTAGAAATGAGTGTAATCAAAAACTGAGTATCGATATATAAGACGCACCCTGTTTTTCAGACCTATTTTCAGAGGGAAAAAAGTGCATCTTATACGGCGGCAAATATGGTAAATACTGTATTCTTAAATAATTTATTTTCTGTTCGGAAATACTGTAATATATATTAAAAAAGTATTGTGGTATTATTATACTATTTTGCTCATATTGCATGAAAACTGATATTTAAGAAAATTTCTTGATTATATTATTTTAAACTTTTTTTTTTTTTTTTTTAAATTTAGAAGTGAATGTTTTAATGAATGAAAAAAATGCTGTGTATTCTTTCTGTCCAGAATTATTTGTCTTTTAGAGAATCTGTGAAATATAAGCTGAATTTGCTGAAAGAAAGAACTCAGATTGATCAGAAGAAATTAGGTGAAAAAATCAAAGAGCTGAAAATATTAGTTGAACAAGATAAGCAGTTGAAGGAGTTTATGGAATTTAAAGCAAAGGAAAGAATGACAGCCAGGTTTGTTGATAGTTTGTTACAAATTATTTTGAACTGCAGGTAACCTGCGATTTACACATAGGGTAAATTACTGGATAAATCACTGAAATTAAAATTAGCATAATTTTTTTACAATGCCCCAAAAGCCTTTGGAAACTTCATGTCCAAAGTTTCCCCCCCCCCCCCCCCCCCTTGATAAATTAAAATCTTATTTTAAGTGAGAAGTTAGAAGGCATATTTTTCTGTGGCTGAATATTGATAAATAGTAAAATGGCTTCCTGTTTAGATATTTAAATAGTGTATAAGTAGGGGGAAGGGAAAAGAAGACTTTTAAAAGAATCCATTCATTTTGATAACTGTAAATATTTTGTATTACTTGAATATGCTGACAATTCAGCCATAAAGCAGTATTTGCTTTCTGATAAGATGATCATTTTTAGAAAATGACATAATAAAAATGGCACCAAAGCTTCCTCAAAAATTAATAAAATTTTTTCCTTTATAAATAGGTTAAAGCATTAAATGCATTAAAATGAAATTTTACATATGTAATCATATTTTTTCCTTTAGTTCCACTCATGAAACCTAATTCATGTTAGATTATATGTTCATGTTAGAAGTATATAATTATACATAGAACTGGATTGCATTTTGTAATCAAAATAAATGATGTGAGACTTAATGATTTGGTAGTAGAATCATTCTGATAAAAAGTATGAAATATTATAAAAATTGTAAAATGCATTTGATGACCTCTAAATTAAAATTATATTAATCAATATAAATTATATTTGGACAAATAAAGAATACATTTACAGTTATTTAAAATAAGAATTTGCATGCTACAAATTTTACGATTTTTTAGGTATAAATTTAATTCATTCAAAATTATTGAAACATAAGTACTTAAAGTTGAATTAGGAAGTAGAATTTTGTATGAATTTTTATATTGATTATATTTGAAAATATGAAATTTTTTACAAACATATTTTTAGTTTTACTTACATTGACTGAATATTATTTATAAATTGTAATTTTATATTGATAAATTATATGTTTAATTAATACTTTTCCCAGAAGGTATTAATTAGCTTCACATTAAAAAAATTAAAATCAGTTTAAGAGTCATTAGTGTTTTTTTAAGCCCAGAAGGGCTGTTAATTTAATTTTGACATTTTGTGTTGATTCACTATAAATGTCAGTTCCCTTTTCAAATTGTTGCCACCAAATATTATGGCCTTGTGTTAAATTTAAAGAAATTAAATAATGAAGAATCTGCAAAATATATACATGTTTCTCGCATTGTGATAAAACAACGGTACCTAGACCCATCCAATTTTGAATAACGTAATCTTCCACCAAATATGGGCATCTGGAAGCCCTAATTTGGAATTTGAAATATGTTTTATTATCAATTTCATATTTTGTAACACTTCAACAAATTTTTGATTAACAAACTCAATGATTTCAAAGTGAGCAATGGCAAAACTGTACACACACGGAAAAAAAAAAAAAAAAAAATTGTCTCCAGCACGCGAGATTGTGTATCGGAAATTCTGAAGTTGTGCTCATTTTAAAATTATTTTGCAATATTGCTGGTGAATTGAATTTTATGGTTTACGTGCAAAGAATATGATATTTAATAAATAAAGGTAACTAACAAAAGGTTAAAAAATGTCTCTTTAGGCATAATGCAAAATCTGAAAGCTTTCAGAATTTATATATATATGTAATAATAAAATTCCATAGTCAAGAATACACTTAAAATTCTAACTGTATGTTATTTTCATTTTTTTAATGGTGACGGTCTCTTATTTGAAAGTACGTGGAATTAAATCCACAGCCCCGTAGTCAAGTTTGTTTTCCTGCCTTTTTCTACATGTACAGTTATAGAATGTTCTGGAGATATTTAAAGCGAACTGGAATGACTGACGAGGCTGACGTCATTTCTTGGAAGCTCCGCCTTTCCAGAGGCTATAAAAGGACTCACAAAGGAATATTGGGGTCTTTTCTTTAATGTAACGATGCAGTAAACTTCATACAAAAAGTTATTAGTAATTCTTTTTTATTTGCTCCGGAAATATGATTTTTGTAACCGCTATTTCTCCTGACCAATAATAAATGGATCCTGTTTTTTAAACTTATCGTCTGATAATTTAAGCTACGACTACATCTATGATTCTTCAACAATCTATTTATTCCGGACAAAAGCTGGTACATCACATATATATATATTCCCCCCCCCCCCCCCCCCGAAACGGCTATTAGTCTCAAAATGGGATTTTGTATGGGATCACTGTAAATGCATTGCTTCACTTTTCATTCGAGCTGCCATTTGGATAAATGTAAGATATTTTTTTTTCAAGTCTGTTGCGGATTAACAAATTGTGATATGCAAGCAATGGATGCAGTTCTAAAGAATATTTTTTTCTTATAATTGAATCAGATTGATTTAAATAATAAACACGTATTTAATTTATGATCTGTTTTATTAAAATTATTCAGTATTTTTATAAAATGGCATTACATTATATATTTTTTAAATATTTATTTCATATTTTGTAAAACTTTAATGAATTTATGATTAACAATCTCGGCGATTTGAAAACAAACAGTGGCAAAAAGGTGTCTGGGGTGGTACGTGTGAACAGGCAGCATACAGTTTGCCAAAAAGCAGAATCAGTTGGGATATCAGATGTCACATTCTAAGGATCTTAACATGCATAGGGTGTGTCAACACATTGTTTGTCGCATGTTAAACGTAGACTAGAAGGGAATTCAAATGGAAATGGCAGGAGACTTAATCTCGGCTGTTGACAAAGATCCTTCCCTACTTGGCAGAACTGTTACTGGAGATGAGAAATGGCATTTTTTGTATGACCCACAAACCAAGAGAGCATCGACAAGGTGGAAATCACCACAATCTCCATGGAAGCAGAAATTCTGGAAGCAGAAATTCCGCCAAGATCACTGTAAAGGAAAGGTCATGCTAGAGGTATTCTTCGATATCCAGGGCATTGTGCATCAGGAATTTATTCCTGAAGGATGCACTGTGAACAAAGAACTCTACATCAAAATCCTGTGTCTTTTGCGTGAGTCACACTTGAAGAAGAGACCAAAAATGTGGGCTGAAGCAGTCACGGGTGCTGTTGCATGACAACGCTTGTGCTCACCATCCCTACTCGTCAATGACTTTCTTGTGAAAACGAAAACAACTTTTTGCCTCATCCTCTTTACTCACCTGATCTCGCACCCTGCGATTTCTTCCAATTTCCTGAACTGGCCGGATGCTTGCAGGGTAGTCAATTTTAATCGTCAGTTGAAGTTAAATGTGCATTGCAGGCTGAATTAAAGGACATGGCTAAAAAGGGATTCTAGACATGCTTCAATGAACTTTACAGGCACTGGCAAAAGCGTGTTGTTGCACACGGATCTTTTTTTGAAGGAGGATGCGTTTCTGCAATTTAATTCATAGTATTTTTTATGTTATACACTCAGTCCGGGAACTTTTGAATTCTACCTCGTACTTTTCCTTGGTTTAAATTTTACATTGGCATGCTTCTCTTCCAATTTTATTTATCAATTGTTTCCTATGATGTGTTTGTGTTCTATAATGAAACAGGACAACAGTTTTATAAAGATTAATTATTATTTAATTTTAGTATTTGACATAAATTTTAATCATATATGTGAAATAAAAAATTTTTAAGGATGTTGAAATTTAATGAATGACCTTCTTATCAGTAAAGGAATGACTGATCTAATGTTTACAATGTTACAATCAGATTTTACCTTAATGCACAAAGTGAGTTTATCATTTATAAATAAGTATTATTATTATTTGCTTAAAAGGCAAATAAGGAATCTGTCTTTAGCTGTATGATAATTAAAATGAATGTATTTATTATAGTGATATCTGTTTTAAATGGGCTCATTTATACTGAACTGCTCAACTAGAACTTCATACTACTTTAATCATAGTTATATTAGGCAGTTTTGAATCTTGTGGTAATTTTGCCTTTAGATTGAGAAATGTGATGGTACTGATAAAAATCTCTGCTGCACTAGCTGTAATGTCAGTTACTAGAAAATAGACAGTACAGGATATGGCTAATGAATCCAAAAGTAATAGTAGAATGTCCTTATAGGTCTAGAGAGTTAATTTAATTATATTCACCCATTTGTATTCATGTCTTAAGTTCTGATTATCTAGTTATTTATTTACTTTCTCCCTTTCCTTTTCATTCTAGTGAAAATGAAGAAATAGTTACAGGAAATGAGCAAATTCTAGAGCATAAACTTCAAAATTATCATAGCATCCTTGCCCGAATTCAGATGGCTTCTGGATGCAAAGATGTTAATCATATATGCAAAAGCTATATTGAACAAGAAGAAGCTAATTTAGCATTATTTGAAAAAGTTAATGAGATGAATCTTGAAATAGAGAAGTTACATGAAGAAGTTACAGCTCAGAGGAAAGAACTTGAAATTATTACTCGACAATACAAAGAACAACAGAGGAAAGATTTAGCTATTAAAAGTGATATTGAGGTAAATCTGCTAATTTGTATTACAAAGAGTGGAAAAAATACCCGGAATTCAAGAGTGTTGAAAATGTTTTCATTTTAGTGTTGTGTGAATTATTATACATTGACAACCCAAAACATTATTACCATTTCCACATTTTTCAAAGATCTCATCTGCATGACATGCACTTACTTTTGCAAGTGATGGGAAAGGCTGCTGATCTAAGCAAATTTGATAGAGGGTAGATTGTAATGGCCCTAAGACTTGGAGCGAGTCTCTCAAAAAAAATCATTCAGATGGGTTCGAGAATGGTCAAAAGATTTAGGAACTGTCTGAAATAGGATACCTGAAACTTTTCATGAATGCAATACTTCATTTACTTCGTACAAGGAAGTAAAAACACAGATAGAACAAGTGCTTATCAAAGTTCTAAAGTTCATCATGCATGTCCTTATCAAAATACTTTTATAAAAAGTGAAACAATAAATTTCAAAGCTGTGTAAATAGTTTAATTTTGGCAAAAATTTTTAATTTATATTTTAGAGTTAAGTATTGCATTTTGTTGTTAGTCATTATTTTACTAAAAGAATTTAAAGTTATAATCACAATTACCAATACAGAAATCACTATATATCAAGCTCTATTTCTATATATTTCTGTTTAATGAATTTTTAATTTATAATTTATATCTATTTCTGTTTAATGAACTCAATTGTGTTTAGAAAAGAAGGGATTTTAATAAGCGGTGGGTAGTGGGTATTCATTTTTTTTTAATTAATTAAAAAAATTAGGGGATCCCTGAGGATGTGTTGTGATTCCTGTAACAGAAATGCACATTTAATATCTTTTCATACTGCTAATTGAAGCATCAATTAAATCCACTGCTATCAAATGCTTTTTATATTTATTTAAAACCCTGTCTAAAGATATATTTCTTTGTTTATAAGTTGTACAACTGTAAAATATTTCTGCTGTTATGAAACTATGTAGAAAATTATAGAACTAGAAAAATTAGGTCATCCCTGAGGATGTAATTGTTTAATAGGATGTGTTGTGATTCTTGTAACAGAAATGCTCATTTAATATCTTTTCATACTACAGTCAAAAGTCTTTAATCCGTACTCGTCGGAACTTCGGAGATTCCGGATTATCGGTTTTTCCGGATTATAGATCATCAGTTTAAATCTGGTAAGATGGCATGCAGAAATTATAAAATTAAAAATATGAAACCGTAATTTATGAAATAAAGAGCAATTATGATCTAAGGGGTATCAAAATTTACAAAAAAAGCTTAATATTTATTTGTTTACTTTATTAAACATTCTTTCAACGCGCGCATGCGCAAAGCATATATTACACATAGTCAAAATTAGAAAATTGCAACCAGAAAACTATTTGATGTGTATTCGTGATATTTATAATGACGAGGAAATTGATTTAAATTATATCGGAGTACATCGAGATGAAATACTACATTTAGTGAGGAATTATAAGCCTAATAAAATAAAAACATCTGCCCTGAAGATGAGGATAGTGCTGACAGATCAACTTCCAGTTCATTGCGCGTCGCAACATTCCCCCACTTCCGCAGAGCAGCGTGAAATTGATAAACAGATTTCGGAATGGTTAGAGAAACAAATCACCTCTCTGTCACTTTCTTCATGCCTTTATCCATTTTTTGCAGCAGTTCCACTTTTTGTTTAATGGACATCGAAACATGCTTTCGCTTTGCAGATCCTTTGGCAGCTCCAGCATCGAAAATTCTATTTGACATAATCGAAAGTTCATGCTTACTTTTATAAAATTGCTCTAGCAGTCTGCAAAAAATAATCAGCCGGATCCAATTCGAAGATTAAGGAACAACGCCATCTGCAACATTAACTGAAATAGATAATTAGATAATTTTAGCCTAGCTTATACCATCCGATATACATTAAACGTGCATGCGTAAACGTATTATGTGCATGCACACACATATGTGAATGCATAAATGTATTACGCGCATGCATAAACGCCTATGCGCATGCATTAACGTATTATGCATTGACACATGCACAGAAAGTTTGTAGCTTTGAGGTCCGGATTATAGATCATTCCGGATTTACGACTTTTGACTGTACTACAGGGTTCGTACGGTCCTTAAGAGTCCTTAAAAGTCCTTAAATTTTTTGGAATTGATTTTTGGTCCTTAATTTTGGCCAAAATCAGCAGAAGGTCCTTAATTTTAATCATCTGAAATTTCTGTCTGTTTTTACGACTGCCATTTTGGAGGAATATTTTTGGCAATTCATTGCTGTATATATGGTAAATCTTTCGAATAGGTTCATGAGTTATAATTTGTTTCTATTTCTAATATAAATGATGGATACTCGAGTTTTTAAGCAAGGAGTGAAACATAAAAGCATTTTGAAATTCATTTCTTGTGTACTAAGTGTGATAAAGAGCTTTTAAACAGTTTTCACTTTTTGAGGAATGTGAATTCTTTTATTAAACGGTTCTAAATTTGGGAGACTTGTTCAACAATTTTGGCAATTTTAAGATTAGTTTCTATGGAAAAATTTTTAATTCCGAGATCTGAGAATTTTTCGACGACTTTTCAGACATCATAACATTGATAAATTTCATTAAAATAACTGTAATATATTGAAATTATATTTAAAATAGAACATTAAAATAAAACATTTTTATTTTTTGCTGTCATATTATACAGTTTCATTTTGAATCTGAAAAATAAACAAGGTATAATGCTATAAAGCACAATTTACGAAACAGCTATATCAAAACCAAATTAGTTATGTAATTAATTAAAAATGTCTTGTTTTTAATTTTTTCATAGTAAGAGCTTTTCCCATGTAATTGTCTCAGATTATTCAATATTCACAGAATGGGCATCAGTTTTTTTCTATAAAATTAATTTTATACTTTTTCACTCCCCCCTTTTTTTTTCAAAAATATTTATGTCTTTTTGCTGTTACGGAAATGGTAGGGATAATTTTTCTTTAGGATTTTAGACATTGCAGCTTGGAAAGTTTAGAAGGATTTGCAGGCAAGATTTATAGATCCATGATTCTAGAAGATTCGAGAAATATGTGACAAAATGAAAAATGTCTACCATGGTATTAACACCTAACGTGGAATGTATTTTACAGAAAGTTTTGCGAATGAATTTCTTATTACGTTTTGGAGAACGTCTGGAAGAACAATGAAAACATAGTATTTGAATGTGTTTACTTCTGATACTAGAATCTTTTTCTTAACATGTTTATCTTCCCTTTTCTTTTCTCTCCTTTTCAGTTGACACAGGCATAAAAAATATCAGAAATGCTTCTAATCCTATTACAAGGACAGGCATTATAGAAAGGAATTTTTTTATTCAGTAAAGAAATTGAAAACTGATAATTTAAACAATTTATCTAGTATATCTGAATGCATCATAATATAATATAATGAATCATACACAGGGCTGGCACTAGGCATTTTCCCACCTGATGCAATCTCTGTGGATCCTAAATTCTGCTGCCTAGCGCCTTTCTAAATTCTGCTTGCAATGCCTGCTCTAAATTCTAAAATTTTGCCATTTCTAGATTTTGTTGCTTGGTGCTGTACACTAGAATTCTAGAAATTCTGAATCAGGCTCTGTACACCGTCTCTTGCTATATATATTTCATATTTATTCTGAATGTTCATATTACTAAAGAAATAAAAATTAGCAGCTTTTTCTATGTACATTCTAAATGCATTTTGTGTTTTTAGAATAACAGCAAATCTTTAATTAAATCCAAAAAATTCTAAAATGAATAAGGAAAACATTTTTGCTGAAAGAAACTGAATACATAAAGAGAAAGAAAATTATTTTTCAAAGATATGTGCAGTTATTATTATGTAAATTACCCAATGGTTTATAATTTCAGCCTTTACCATAATTTCCCATTTCTATTTCCTCATATGACATAATTAATGAGCCAGATTAAATTCAAATTAAATTGTATAATCTTTGAACCATTAGTCCGCATAATTAGTTTGAATTTGACTGTTCTTGTTATTTAAACCTTTGTCTGATATTGTAGTTAATTTCAGACATAGCGATAATGTGCTTCACGTCTGTCGGAGGTTTTGGACTATTTAACGTTTACCAGATCAATTAAGCTCTCATAGGTACATTGTGGAGAGGTTGACAGGTTAGGAGATAAAGCATGCAGAAACTAGCGAGAGCATTGGTTTGTATATTGAGACAAACCTGTAATTGTTAGAAAAGATGCTTAAAGAGAAGGAAATCGATATAAACTAGCCAATATGTTTGCGGAGGCTTGTAGAAACATTAGATATTTTTGAAAGCAGGAAAGATAAAAAGTTAACAACGCCTTCGCCGGGAATCGAACAGCGGACCTCTGGAATACCGGCCCAGTGTGCAAACCACTACACCAAGAAGGTGGGAGAAAATCCTTATAGGCTTCAAATTAAAATGACGGATAAATATTTTGTTGAGTGTTGTTGTTACAAAACATAAATGTTTTGTAGCTTTTAATGTGTAATTATCCTAATATCGTTTAGAATCAATGTCATAAATTACATGTATTTTAAACTGTAAAATGTTATTAGATTGTGATTTTAATAAGGCTTTTTTTTTAACAAATATTGTTAAAAAATAAAATTTAATAGTGGCTATGTAAATCCATAATGACTGATGTTATCTAATTTAATTATTTTTAACTAACTACTTAACCTTAAACATTATCTCTACATATTAAAGTGAGTTATTGCCTTTCATTAATACTCACTGTGGTCACAAGATAAAACACAAAAATGTAAAAATTCAAGTAAAACGTATTCTTTGCATCTATTGAGACTTAATAATACAGGGTGTCTGATGATGGGACAAACTTGGAGGGGTGGTGGAGCGTACTAAAACATGCATTTTTTCATAGGAATGTAGGGTCTAAAGTGACTGGTTAAGGCAGGAACGTAAAAAAAAAAAAAAACGACACGAGAGGAAAATGTGTTTATGTACAAAATTAACGCAAAGTGTCTCTTTGTAGCAATACAGTATTCACAGTAAATGTTCAAAATTGCGACCACCATCAGTAATGCATGCTTGGTAACGTCGCAGAAGGGATTGACGAACATTTTGAAAATCGACGGGCATTTCGTGCACTCTTACAGCCACAATGGATAGTCGTGCATCGAGGTCCTCCAGTGAGTCAACGGGAGTCTCGTAAATGATGCTCTTCAGATGGCCCCATAAAAAAAAAATCCAAGCTTGATAAATATGGCGAACGGGGTGGCCGTCGAATGGGTCCACCACGGCCAATCCATCGGCCCGGAAATGTCCCATCCAAGTAATTGCGGACCCGCACATGGTTATGGGCTGGTGCACTATCATGCTGGAACCACGTGCGATCACAAACGACAGCCGGAACATTCTGCAGCAATTCCGGTAGCACCTCTTGTAGAAAAATGTGATAACATAAGCCATTTGTACGTGCAGGTAAGAGGTATGGGCCTATGAGGTAGTCGTTAACAATACCCGGCCCCACATTCATGGAGAAGCGGGTTTGGAATGCATGGGACGTGTGGATTATGAGTTGCCCACACATGCATGTCATGGCTATTGAAGATGCCGTCCTGTGAGAAAGTTGCCTCGTCCGTGAATAGCACATCCGATGGGAAACCCGCCTGCGCCGCACACTGCTGCAAGAACCAATGACAGAAATGAACTCAAAGAGAGTAATCTGTCTCTTGCAAGGCTTGGACTCTGCAAATCGTATGGGTGCAAACCATTTTCATGCAGTACTCTCCAAACGGTGGAATGACTCAGCTGCAGACTACGTGCAGTAGCTCTTGTACTTGTCTGAGGTGATTCATGCACAATGTTCAAGATGGATTCTTCAATGCGAGGTTGTCGTGCACTTCTTCTTTCACTCATAGTGTCAGAGTTGGCTTCAAATGACCCGTTTTCGCACAGAGACCGATGCAATCTCTTGAACGTTGTGTGCTACGGCATACGCCTGTTCGGAAACCGTTCCGGTACAACTGTAGCGCTGCTCTGCCGTTCCCATTAGCAGCATGAGATGCATGTCAGCTTTTTACTCTCGACAGCAGAGTTGCAAATGATCCTCTGATGCATCGGATCGTTGTTTGTCCGACTCACTACCGCTGCATTGCCAACCAATCACAGCTGTAGTTCCTATTACTGTTAGTGTTCCCTTTTTTGAACATTTATTGTGAATACTGTATTGCTGCAAAGAAGCACTTTGCGTTGATTTTGTACATAAACACATTTTCCTCTCGTGTCGTTTTTTTGCGTTCCTGCCTTAACCCGTCACTTTAGACACTATATTCCTATACAAAAAATGCATATTTTAGTACGCTCCGCCACCCCTCCAAGTTTGTCCCATGATCTATGAAACACCCTGTATATACAAAACAACTTATCACCTCTGGTGCTTTAATGGCTTATTGGAACCTTAAAGTATATTAACTGGGTTACAACCCCTGGAACTCTACACAAAGCTATGACATTGAATGCATTAAGCAGAGCCTGACTAACTTTCAAGACTTGCCAGCCGTGTCTACATCAGGCCTTTCAGGTTTGTTCTAATCAGCAGGTCTCTCTCTAGACAAGGAGCAGCAGTGACAAACATTCTGTCTTTTGTTATGAATCATACTGATTATGATCTTACTTCTCGTTTTAATCTATGCCGTTTAACATAAAATCTACCTGCTATTTACTAAACCTCTGGACTGACCAAGTGTGTGACAAAATGAGACATAAAAATATCAACATGAAGCTAACTGTTAGTAAAACGTAAATGTCACTTATCTTCTTTCAAACATGACCAACTATTATAAGTGTAAAATATTTAATGCTACTTGATAAGTTGCATAAAGTTTATTTTTTTATCAAACATTTTAATAATTATGTTAGTTAATTCATGTTTAGTAATAATGGATACTACTTAGGGATCTATTTTATTTTTAGGATGGTATTACAAAAGTGAAATTCAGGCATAGAATAATATTTTTAATTGACATTATTCAGTTCCCATTTGCTCATAGGTCCTTAATTTTTTTCACTAATGGTCCTTAAAAGTACTTAATTTCCGTGTGCAGAAATGTGTACGAACCCTGTACTAATTGAAGTATTAATTAAATCCACTGCAATCAAATGCCATTCTTCCAAGAGGGCATATCTTAGCTTCTATAGGCTCCATGAAAAGATCTACCATGTTGCAACTTATTTACCTTGGATATCCTGAACATGCTGAATACAATTGAAATCGAACAAGTATGATTTGGAATCCAGTCAGATATCTTCAGTTTGAAGATATTATTATATGGTTTTTATATTTTTTTGAAATAAGCATTTGATATCAAACATGTTTCCTTATATAATTTGTTCATTAAATAGTGCAAGTGAAAATAAAGACTACACAATATTGGTACTTTGACTGGTGAGTCGGTTAATTTCATGAGTGTTTTTATGGTTTTCGATTAGTGTAACATAAATAGCTGTTAGTTTTCCATATTAACTTTTCTATGAAACTTCTTTTCCATTTAGGCAATTAGCCTTTTTGTATTTGGCCACATTCAATGAAACAAACAAGCAAACTTCATAATTTGGTCATGTTTGGCTATTGTATACAATGTATTTGCAACTGCTTGTATAGCAATAAGTTTTTAATTTTAGTAGCATAATTTTATGATAAATAATTACATTCTGTGGAATGCTAATAATTTTCATGCAGCTGCATCTATTTTATAATTATTCTTAAATACTGAATATAGTCTATGCTAAATACAGTATATCCCAAAATTATCCTTAATGTATACATAACTGGGTATTTTTAGTGTTTCAAAACATCTTCAAAGCATATTGTAGTATATTTTTGTCACTTTAATATGCTGCTCTTTTAAATCTGCTGTTCAGAGAGCATATTCTGTTCTTTGAAAATATAGTAAAACTTATAACTCAATTTTAAATCATGTATTTGAAAAATATTTCAGTATCATTGTTTGATAATGTAATAACTTTTTTAGAATGTGACAGATAAATTACGAACTGAGGCTAAAGAACTAGAAGATGCAGCTGATGCCAGAGCTGAGGAACTAGAATATGTAAAACGGGTGTTATTGAAGATTTATGGTGCTTTAGATGGAATTTCATTCAGTGGTATTTCTTTTTCTGTTGATGACAGCATTACAGATGACAATATTCTATTATACTTAGAAGCTCTTGAAAGAAGAATATTAGAGTTAATAAATTGTCATAACTTCATGAAGCGGAAGGTAAAGGTAAGGTAAAATTTATTTATGATCCATTTAACTTTTCATTTCTTTTTTTTTTTTTTTTTTTTCTTTTTTTTTTTATCTTTGTGGTGCATATTTTATGTAAAGGTTCTATAAATTTACTTTGTAGTTAAAATTTATTAGTAGTTTTAATCTTAAAATTTTTCTTTTGGGCTACACATAAATTTTAATAAAACTTTAGATATATCTGCTGAACTTTTTTTTTGTTTTTACTTTTTTAAATGCTTATTATGGTTTATAATTTAAAGCAATAAGGGGGGAAAAGTGTCTTTCTTGTATTATTCAATTTAAGCCAAATAAAAAAAGTTCATTAATGTAAAATAAAAATTTTTAATGGGGGTAGTGACAATGTGCTAAACTTTAGCACTGAATCAGTAGAAAACACATTCAAAGATCTGTCTACTTTTCAAGAGACAGCAGTATCATGAAATGCATTGAACATTTTCAATGATTATAACTGATTCAGGTGATTTTTGCATGTTATTAATATTAAAGTTCAGAGATTTGTTTTGTTCTTGCTAAGACTCTACTGAAGAATTCCTGAAGAACATCTAACCATAAAGTTTCAATGTGATATAATAAATTTTTAGAGTTAGGTTTGCAGTAATTTATTATTTATTGTGGAAAATGCTCTCCTTAGTTTAGTTATATTTAGAAATGTTTGCTTTTATTAGAATTCATGCCTTGATTTTTCTCCCCTTTAGCTTGCATTATAAATCTCAGTTTACATTTACACTGCGTCTTAGAAAGATCTAAGATTTTAATACATTTTTAATCATCTGTAGAAATTATAGAGTGTCCCGTAAATGTTGCGACAAACTTCTGGGGAAGGTAGGACACATCACAAGGATTAAAAATTGCATAGAAATCCATGCCCGGAAATATCAGGGGTAAGTGGTAGTAGAGTGGAAAGGAAACAAGACAGTGATTAATTTGAAACATTTATTGCACATGAATACAAATGGTGTATAGCACCTTGAATGTTAAACAGACGCTCGAAGTTTACTCCATCAGACGCCAAACATGCCTGACACCAACAGACCATTGATTGCCGGACATATTCAAACACACCAGGAATTTCTTTGATTGTAGCAGTTGCATAAGTGAGTCTTGCCACAAAATACATTTTAGACATGTGATATACAACACTTTTGATGGCTCCAAAAAAGAAATCAAGGCTCGATAAATCCTGTGAGCGTGGGGGCCAGAAAGTCAGCCACCATGCCCAATCCATCGATGCAGGAATGATCTGTTCAAATGGCTACAAACATCCAGTCCAAAATGAGCAGGCACCCCATCCCCTTCATGTTGGAACTATATGTTGCACCTCATGTTTGGTGGAACATTGTCAAGCAAACCATGAAGAACCTGCTTCAGGAACATCAGATAATTCGCAACATTCAACCTGGATAGTAAAATGTACGGCCTGACTAAGCAGTCGCCTACCAAACCCAGCCACACATTAACTTTAAAGCATTGTTGTGCTGCATGGTGCTGCACACCGTGGGGGTTTTCTTGAGCTCACAAATGCTGATTGTGGTGATTTATTATGCCATCCCTATTGAATGTGGCCTTATCCATAAATAACACATAAACTGGGAAATTAACATCATGGGCATTTTCTTGCAGAAACCACTTTGCAAAACGCATCGTTCAGGATGGTCATCGGGGAGCAGTAACTGAACCCTTGGAGACAAAAGATGTGGAAGGATTTGGCGTTTAAGACATGCTGAACACTGGTATGAGACATTCTTAATTGAGAGGCAATGGAACGTATGTCAATTCTTGGATTACTCTCCACCGTATCCAACACACTTTCCTCTCTAATGACCGAGCGAGTCAATCGGGGCCTGCCCTCACTTGTTGTGACACTTCTTAATGACCATTGTCACACAGATTTTGATGCAGATGTGCAAACTGTGGTGTGCTTGATGTCTATCTGGGAAGCATTGTTAATAAATGCATGCAGCTGCTTGTCCATTACCCTCGTCCATTATCCAGTGCATGTCTGCAAGCTCTCTATTTGTATAGCTTTCCATGCTCTTCGTATGATGCTTACTGCTCGAATGAGGCAATCCTTACTTTCCACTAGCACTCTCCTGTACAGCACCCCCTGGCAGTGTACAATGAAGTTTTTGGGCATGGGTTTCTATGCAATTATTAAACCTTATGATGTGCCCTACCTCTTCTAGAAGTTTGTCACAACATTTAGGGGACACTCTATATATGGCTGTAAATACTGAAATTTCAAATAGCAAGATTTCAGGTGTAAAGTATTTATGGCTTATTTTCCTACTATGTATCAGAGTAAACTTGTGTTATTTTTTGTAGTTTTTAAGGTATGCAGATACAATTCTCTGGTTACAAAATATTATTTTAGATTGCCTTACATTGCAATATAAATTATTTTTTCTAAACAAAAAATATTTGTTTTGTAGTATCTAATATCGAGAGGGAGAAAATATAATTTGCTAAAATGCATGTTTATAAATTATGTTCTCAATTTCTTAAGTTTTTTTAACTGATGCATAACAGGTTTCATTGTCTGTGCAACATTTATGTATGTTTAATTATTATATATATATAGGATGGGATATTCAGCACTATAGGAAGCATTAAAATATTTAAATATTCCAATATTAAAAAAGATAATGTTATTCCAATATAGTGCATTTCTGTTAACAATTAATATTTAATTGTGTGTTTATTTGTTTTAGAATAAAAGCCTTTGTTTTATGTATGTATACAGGCAAATTATTAAATGCATATGTGACATCTCTAGTCTGTTAAGACTTAAATCTGAACAGTGGCACAAAGTTAGATCTGTGAATAAGGCTGTATAATAATTATCTTTTAAAATTTTCGAGCATTGAATAGGTAAATAAAATATTTGGTATAAAATGAGGTAAATTTCAAAGACGATATTGATTTTTTTTATGCTACAAAAAGCATTAGTTAGGTGCTTCTTGACTACTGAAGTTGAATTGTTGTTTAACCTGATAAAAATTTTAATACCTTCATTGGATGCCCCATGTATTTTTTATGAAGATTAAATTAATGAAATTAATTAAATTTATGAAATTTTAATTAATTTAATTAATTTAAAATTATTTTTATGAAATTAATTTTGCATAGTAACATTAAAAATATTTCTGATATATATGTATATTTCATTGCATAGCTCAGCTATGTTAAAATAAATATTTGATTAGTTTCATTTCTAATTATTTAACTTTCTTATTCCAGTCCTGTGAATCCAAAAAGGGACTTAACAAAAGCAAAAATAATACTCATAAATTAAATTTTTCATTGACAAGAAAATCTCCTCATTGCATGCCTGTCCATCTGAAAAGGTTTAGTTTTTTCAAATTTTCTATAGATAAAATTATCTCAAAATTTTATTTTGAAACTTATGCAAATTTTTCTAAATTTATTATTATTATTTAATTTATTTACTTCTTTTAAATTTTCTGTTGGTCAAATAATTGTTTCAAAGTTTTATTGCAAGGGTTATGCAAATTATTCTAAGTAATTTTGTAGTGTTTAATTTATTTGTTTCTTAAAACTGCCAATTATTAAGTCGCAAAATTTTATGGCGTATGTAACAAAATAATTTGTGACATAAACAATAAACTTCAGTTACAGTGAAATAATAATTTAATGCTGTAATTGATTTTAATATGGAGTAGGTTCTAATATACTCGGCATTTTTTCCCATTTGCAATTTTTTAATGAAAAAATCTTAGTTAAAAATATGAGAGAAACATTCGTAGTAGTAGAAATGTAGAGAAAGTTGAAATATGTAAGTAAAACTGAACTTCTTAAAAATGTGTGCAAGGGCATTCGTTTAAAAAATATCACTATGTATCAAAGCTTAATTGTTATCTTTTTTTTACATTAATCGAATATGTATGGATATATACAGCGTGTTCACAGAAAGATGGTTCATAAAAAGATGGTGTTGCCCATCTGGTGTAGTGGTTAGTGATCCTGATTGCCTTAGTGATGGGCTCAGGTTCCCAGAGAAGGAAGGTATGGTTGTAACTGTTCATCCCTTCATAAGAGGCAACAATGTTTACCTATCAGGTGCTTCCTCAATGAAATGGCCTCAGTTCCGGCCCTTGTAGTGGCCCAAGGCTAACGGCTATTAATTAAAGCACCTGGCTATTAAAATAATAATAATAATAATAAAATGATGGTACTCATCCCTTCGTCAGCTACTAACACTGGAATTATCAGGAAAACTTGGTAGAGTGATCAGAATATTTGATTAAACATCTTTCTTGTAAAATGTGCATGTGCAAATAGAAAATAGCCTCCTTTGATGGTGTTTGCCACAGTGGAAATGATAATGCATACGATCTGTTGTTAGCTCTTCAACATGAATATCAGTTTACTGACTGCTTTCAATTTACTCAGTTGCCAGTTACATTAAAACATTTGTCTTTGAACTGCATTCTGAGGAACTTTTCTGTTCCATGGAACTTCTCTTGGATTGTTGCAAGTCCAAATCAGAACTCAAAGAATTTTTGACTGCAATGTGAACTGAAACTTAAGTATCCAAAATAATTAATTAGATTATGTTTTTATTTCTATTGTCATCTACAGTAATATGAAGAAGATTCGTTTTTATGAGTATTATTGTTATGAAATTATAATTGTTGTTTCATTTTCTACATAAAATATGCACTATATTGATATATGGTCAGTGTATTTGTAATTTTGTGTTTGTGTCTGCCTGTGGTTGGAGGCAAGTCTAATCTTAAACCTAGAAAATACCATCGTAGATCTATTTTTTTCAGAATGTTATTGGGAGAGCAATTAAAAGGCATAATATGGTTAGTACGATGACATAATATATGGCTACCATATTTGACAGCATATAAGATGCACCCTTATTTAGAAGGCCACACACAAGGGGAAAAAGTTTCAATAATCCACGTGAGAGCGTGCTATCACAATAACTTAAAATGTGGTTTCTTTTAGTTCTCACATTTCATAAAAGCCAAATAAATAATCATTGAATGCAATTACCAAACATATTTTTATTAAGGAAAATTAACAAATGGCAAGCTATTTTGAACATGATATGTAAATTTCAATAATGAATAAATGAATGAACGGCAAGCAATCAAACATAATACAAAATAAAGCAGAAACAACAAAAAACACAGATTCAAAGAAAATGTTAATTATTATGAAATTAGACTTTAATCACTTTCAAAACCATAAAAATCCTTTTCACTATCATCATCATCGAAAATGAGAATATCGTCATCACTACTGTTTCCATCATCACTAGTATCACCTTCTTCGAATAATGCGTCGTCTTTTGTTCCGTCAAGAGCATTCCTGATTCCACACTTCTTAAAGGATCTAACAATTATTTCAGCCTTTACGTCCTCCCAAGATCTTTTTACTCACTCACACAGGGCCGCTTCATTCTACCTGAGGGTGTGAGGGCGTGATGTGGTCCACTTGTTCCATCGTTCTCGCACTTTTTCCTTAAATGGCTTATTCACTGATACATCTAAAGGCTGCAATTGGCAGTCAGTCCACCAGGAATGACAGCTATCTGGGTTTTTAATTCTCTCGCTTTATTCTTTATGGTTTCAGTTCTATGGGTGCTAAACTGGACCAAAACCAAAAGAGAGGGTTTTCTTAAGAGTCCACCAGGTCGCCTCGCACATACGTTCTGTAACCACAGTTTCATTCCAGCTTCGCCCATCCAGCCTTTCGGATTAACATGAACAATTGCACCCGTTGGAAGTTTTTCTTTTGAATATGAAAAACGGCGGTAGTTTTGTGCCATCAGCACAACATGTTAGAACTACCGTATATCGAGTTTTTTAATGACCTGTGATTTTTATGGTTATTGATTTAGACCCTTTAATACTCACAGTCTTGTTGGATGGTACATCAAATGTGAGTGAAATTTCATCCATATTTCCTATTTGACCGAGCTCAAAAGAAGTTTTCATGTGTGCATTTATAACAAACCTATGAAATGCTAGTATTTTTTCTTCATAATCTGCTGGCATTTTCTGTGAAATAGTTGTTTTTGTGCGCATTGATAAGCCTTGCCTTTTCATGAACCTGTAGCACCAGCCCTCAGACCCTGAAAAGTTCTGTTTTCCATGTTTTTCTGCAAATCCTTTGGTCTCATTGATTATGATTTTGGTTGAAACATTTATCCCAGACTTCCTCTTATCTATCACCCACATTTCTACAGCATTTTCAAGTTCAGGCCAAGATGGAGCTGGGCATCGAAGGTTATGTTTTTGTTTTTTAGCAGTCTTCAGTTGATCTTCCTGCAGTCGCCAAGTACGTATCATTTTTTCGGTAGGTGGTGGACCGAAATGCCTTGCTGCTGCTCCGTTTCCATACACTTCGTCTGGTATTTACTCTCTCACTGAGACTATAGATCCATCAATCGGTCAATGAAAGCAGAATTTTGCGCAAACTGAAATGCAGCTATGAAGTAACTTTTCGAAAACCATTTCAGCAGTAAGTTCATCCAAGAATACTAGAAATATTTTAATATCTGGTTGTAATGAAATTTTTCCGCCAAAAAACGGTCTTAGTAAAGTTAGACAAAAAAACATGAAAGCAGTACCTTTAATGCAAATAGTAATCACCACCCAAATCTATGATTTTCTCCCAACGTTTTAAAATGTAGGTTTTTAAAGTTTTCCCAACGTTTTAAAACGTAGGTTTTTAAAGCCTCCGGCCCAGAAACCTGGTGGCCCCGAGTCCAAAAACAGATTAACCTCATTTCGGACGTCCTGTGCAGAATAGAAGATAGTACCAGCAAGATGTGACTGCAGGTGTATAAAAGATATAAGTCTGAAGAAGCGATGTTGGGGCTATATGATGGGTGTGGCAAAAGATCCCATTCGAGTCCTTGCAGAGCCCAGCCGGTGAATGAACCTTTCTGCGCAGAAACTCCATTTGACATTTTCCTTGATAGCAGCATCAGCACGGGCTAACATCTCACTGTATACCTTACTGTCCATGATTTTACCTTTTCCAGATACTCTTTGTGGATAATACCACGGCAAAGCCACCAGATACAAAGCATGATCTTTTTGTTAGTCAAATTACACTTTGCCATGCTGCTGACTGGCTCACCGGGCACAAAACTAACCCCCCTTTCGGCCTGTGTTGTTGAAGTAAATCCACATTTCATCACAAGTGAAGGATCCGGTCCGGAATTTTGTCCTTGTGTTAATATTCGAGCAGATTAGTGCTGGCCTGAACACCTCTATCCTTATCTGCATTAAGTCAGTTCATGCAGCACCCAGCGATTGAATTTGCACGTCAAGTCTCTGTGATACATAACGCTACAAATGGGCATGGCACTAATGTCTAACTCCTTGGCAAGCTTCCGAGTAGTTGCATGCTGATTTTCTTCCACAAGTTCTCGCAGGCGGGCCTCATCAACATGAGTAGGCTGGCCAGAGCGCTGCTCTTCTTGAATGTCATATGATACATTATCAGTACCTAAAGCTGTGCACATGATTTAGTGACATTTTGTAGCTGACATTTTGCAACAGAATTGGAAGTAAATGATGGTTCTAATCAGGTAGCGTAATAGTTCCATTTCAGACAGATTGTACTTAATGATAAGGATATTTTTTTTTACAAATTTTCACAACAGAGTGTACTAAAGCAAGTCTCTTTCTTTGAAATTCCAAAAATCATTTGACAAAAATATGATTAAACACCTCAACGCGAACCAACTGTTTGCACAGACTATATTCGCATTGGCGGGAAACGTTCGTTAAAACCAGATATAATCTCTGAAATGTGGAGCATTGCAAAGTCATGAGAGAACGTGTCTGCAGATATTTTTAAAAGTGTTTAGCATAATATAAATTTGGCTACCAAATTTCATGATGGTAATGAAAGCGGGGAATCTGAAGGTTTTTCGAATATCATAAGCAAAACGCGAAATTTTGCAACTAATGAAATAATCCTGAGAAATGAAGATGATGTAAATGAAGGCTCACATTGAGATGACAATGCCCTCAATTATAAAATTAATTGATGGAATAGCAAATATGTGTAATAAGTTTTTTCTGGAAAATATCGCCAATTATCTTGAGTCACATTTCAATTTCACATGCTGGTGATTCAGAAAAAATTTTCTTTATGTAACATACCTTTTTATTTAATAATAAAGAATATTTTTAATTTTAGAATTTCTATATACCATCTTACTATGTGTACTCTGATGGTCTTTAATTCAGAAATCTCCGAAACCCCGGATGGCCAAATTCCTCACGATTTCGGACTTTTGCTGTATTATATTAAATTAATGAATTTTTATCTTGGTAAATGTAGTATATATGTATGTTTATTTGATTTTTCTTTTTCAGTAAGGTTACCAATCACACAATGAATGAAAATAAAGAAATATCTGAAATTTTATACAACAGAGAAAATCTAAATGCTTTTGCAAAGAAGCTGGAGCAGAAAAAAGCCTAAATCTAGTTTGTACTTTTTCAACCGGTGCTGCGGTCCGTCCAAAACATATGAAAATAAAATATACATAATAGTAAAATAAAGAGCTACCTTCTTTCATTGTTAAATTTATTTGTGTTTAGAAATCTAGTGTTGCTTTCATTTTTGGGTAATTTTATTTGCTTAGTTCTCAGTAAAAAATCAAGAGAATGTATCTTAAATATACAGCGCAGATCACAAACGAACATATATATGATCACTTTGGAATTGGGGGAAAATTTGCTTGAAAACAAAAGTTGCAAATTTATTAAAGCTGTCAAATCACCAGTATAATTTTGTGCAGCTCTGTTAAACTGCATAATTGAATTTTTTAAATTTACAATATTCTTCTTTTTAGTGCAAAGGGATTTGAGTCCAGAAGGACTATTACTTTCGTTTTGGCATTTTGCTTCGAACTCCTATAAATGTTGGTTTTTATTTTCAAACTGTTGCCACAAAATATTAAGGTCCTTCATTATATTTGAAGAAATTGTATAATGAAAAATCTGTATAAATGTATGTATATTTCTCGCATTGTGATAAAACAACGGTACATAGAGCCATCGAATTTTGAATGACGTAATCCTACTGCGAATATGGGCATCTGAAATCCCAAATTTGGAATTTTTATCTCCAGCGCATGGAACTGTGTATCGGAAATTCTAAAGATATGCTCATTTTAAAATTTTTTTGCGACATTGCTATTGAACTAAATTTTATGGTTTAAGAGCAAAGAACACGATATTTAATAAATAAAGGTAACACACAAAACGTTAAAAAAAGCCTTTGTGGACGTAATTTAAAATCTGAAACATTTCAGATTTTTTTTTTTTTTTTTTTAATTACTGTTATTTTTATGGAGTTGGCCCATCTATGAGTAATACAGTAAATACTGTGGTCGCTGAGTTCAAAGAAAAGTTTTAAAATCAGTATTTACAGAAAAGAGAGGCAAATTTAATAAATATTTTAGTTTTTTTGTCAATTTTTTTAAAGTTTGCTGAGGTCACTGAAATTGTTATCATGTAAAAGAATTACTAACTTATATATTAAATGCATAAGTAAAAGGGATCCTTAAAATCTAAGAGCGTAAATTGCGCCAGTACTTCCTTATTTTTAGGATAAATCATAATTCTAGCCGGTGGGCACCGGAGCCCTAAATAAGAAGGTTCCGGAACTCTTTTTATGTAAATGAACAACAAGTTCAGTATAGAAATTTGATCTTGAAAATTTTACTTTTGGCATTTAAAATCACTTATTAAATTAAATTATTTTTAGTTATATTTAAAATCACTTATTAAATTAAAAAAAATTTCGATAGATTTTATGAAATTTTAATTATTAGTTAAATCATCAATTATTTAATTATTTTAATGATTAATTATTTAATTTTTTAATTGTTAATGATTTTATTAGTTATTTTATTTATTTCTACTTGTTCCTCTTTTCTGACAGTCTACTGTAGGGCTCTGCACTTCTAATTTTAGAAATTAAGCCCTGCCTAAAACTTAATGTTGATTTTTTATTTGTAATTTTAATAAAGAAAAAATGTAACAAATGATGCCTAAGAATATTAAAGATACATTGAGATAGTTATTTCTGTTATGAACAGACATTCATGTCAGATTCTAAAATTTTTAATGCATTTTGTTTGGTATGTATATAACAATTATTCTAATTTTTTTTTTCTTTTTAAAATTGATTAGATATTTGAAATAAAAATATGCTATAGAACAAACACAGTGTACACATTAAGAGAATTATCCATTTTCAACCATCAAATTTTTTCTGTGCTTTAAAGAACTGGGTTTCATTAAATCAGTTTTCTCTGCCCTCAGTTTACATTTGCGTAACTTACAATAAACTTTTTTCTTGTTTGTTTTCATTCTTTCCATCCAAATATCAAGCATGTGCATTTTAAGCCAAGCATTTGGAAAGGCAATTCTGAATTTTTTCCTATTACTCAGAGTTCACACTTTAGTTAACACAGGAGGAGATGTAACTTGACTCTGGTCAATGAAACATATGAAAGTACGAGCTACTACCGTTGAATATTGAATGCATATTCACTCATGGGCTACAATCGCACTATTACCTATTACCAACTTTTATTTAAGCCTAAACAAATTTTTACTTTTTATTATAAAATAATTTAATATATTAATTACATTAACATATAGGAATTTTACGATATATTAAAAAATAAAAATATCAAGCAAAATCTCAGAAGTATAAATTTTAGTACCACATGTTTCTCAAAATTAGCAAATTCACGATAAATCGCACGATTTGGCAACACTAGTGTGAAGGCATTCCCAAGCATAGAGGAAATTATATCATCATAAGGCATATCCAATCATGAGCACGGATTTTTCCCAATGCACGCGGCGTGGTACGGGATGAATATGTGCTTCGTTGGTCTAGCAAAGCTCTGGTGATGTTGGCTGTGGTCAAACTACTCTCGCAACCCAAAAACTATTGGTCTCAAAGCACAAGACCCAGATTTCAGCAAGAAACCAACCTTCATACATGAAGCATGTGGTCAGTATAAAGTATTATAACAATAATGCAATCAAATGCATTCAGATATTTAGGTAAATTTATAATACTGTCTCATAAAATTATGACTTTTTAAAATCTAGGTACTTTTGTAAGAATGAATGCCGGTAGAGATTACCTTAAAAACATTAGCATATTTATGAATGAGAATTTTCATTCTTACAGAAAATTATTACAGTTTCACATTTTTACAAGATTTCTTTCAATCTTGCAAGAATCTTCAGTTCTTATTAATTTTTACAATATAATTAATGTGTTCATATGGAATTAAATATCAGTATACAGGGTGTACCGTAAATGTTGCGACAAACTTCTAGGGAAGGTAGGTCACGTCATAAGGATTTAGAATTGCATAGGAACCTATTCCCGGAAATGTCACGGGTAAGTGTTAGCATAGGTAGAAGATGGGAAAGGAAACAAGAGAGTGATTAATTTGAAACATTTATTGGACATGAATACAAATGGTGTACGACATCTTGAATGTTACAACAGATGCTCGAAGTTTGCACCATCAGATGACAAACATGCCTGACACCGACGGACCATTTGAATGCTGCGAATTATTTAATCTTTCTCAGAGCAGGTTCTTCCCAATTTGCTTGGCGATATTCCACCAAATATCAGGCGCCACATATTGGGGGCCCATGCTCATTTTCGATTGGATGTTCGTAGTCATTTAAAAAGATCATTCCCGCATCGATGAATTGGGCGTGGTGAATCAGTTCCCTGGTTCCCACACTCACCGGATTTATCGAGCCTTGATTTCTTTTTGTGGGAAGGCATCAAAAGGGTCGTGTATCACGATCCTGTTGCGTCTGAAATTGATCTCGTCGTAAGACTCGCGTGCGCAAGTGTTACAACCAAAGAAACTCACGGTGCGTTTGAACATGTCCGGCAATAAATAGGCCGTCGGTGTCAGGTATGTTTGGCGTCTGATGGGGCAAACTTCGACCATCTTTTGTGACATGCAAGCTGTCATACACCATTTGTATTCATGTCTAATAAATGTTTCAAATTAATCAATCTCTTGTTTCCTTTCCCATCTTCTACCTATGCTAACACTTACCACTGACATTTCCGGGCATGGGTTCCTATGCAATTCTTAATCTTATGAATTATCTTTCCTAGAAGTTTGTCGAAACATTTACTGTACACCCTGATAATTGTCTTTGAATATATTAGCGCAATAGAAAATTTTCATTTGTATTTTAAGAATTTTCAATTATTACTATTTTTATTCTTATAAGAATGTTGGGGTATTTCTCTTGTAAGAACAAATACTGCTATAGATTACCGAGAATATTAGCATATTTTTCATTGAGAATATTCATTTTTACTAACATTTTCTATTCCTACTAATTTTTATTCTTACGTGAGCGATTAGCATTTTCTTTTTACATCACAGCATCTGTATAGACTACGTTTGAAAGCATTAGCTGAGTGGTATTCAAACTTTATGGCAGTGCGACCCCCCCCAAAATGAAAGTTTTCAGATTTTAATTATGTCCAGAGGGGCGTTTTTTCAACGTTTTGAGTGTAACCTTTATTTATTAAATATGTTCTTCGCACTTAAACCATAAATTTCAGTTCAGGCAATGTCGCAGAATAATTTTAAAATGAGCCTATCTTTAGGATTTCCGATACACAGTTCCGCGCCCTGGAGATAAAAAGTACCCCCCCCGTAGATTGTTGCCATTTCTGGCTTTCAAATCGTTGAGAATTCGTTAAGGAAATAGAATTAGTTAAACTTTACAAAGTATGAAATCGATAATAAAACAAATTCCAAATTTGGTTATGTTACAATTTTGGAACAATTTGTCAGCACTCAACTGGCGTTGGAGGATCGACCAGGTATCGACTGGTTCATGCAAGATTGGGCTCGACCACATCGAACAGATAAAGTTTTTCGCTTTCTTCATGAATACTTTGGAAATAGAGTAATTGCGTTAGATTATCCGCAATTTACTGACACAGGAATAGCTTGGCCTCCATATTCTCCCGATCTGAGTCCTTGTGGCTTCTTTCTGTGGGGCGCATTGAAAGACATTGTCTGTCGAAACAATCCCGCTACTCTAGATGAGCTTGAATCGTTGTTTGGTGTTGCATGTGATTCCATTTCCATTCAGACATTGCAAGACGTGATGTCAAATTTCATTGTTCGTTTACGCCACCTCATTGTTTCGAATGGTGAATATTTAAAAAAAATTGTAATTTGATTGCAAAAGCTACTTGTTTTTTTACTCCTTTCAGAGAAAGAGTTTTCAATGCAGAGCGCCATCTGTTAACGATTTTCGTAACTAAATTTTCTAAACTTTTGTAAACCATTTTTCAGTTTTGCTAATGAACGTACAGTTTACCGCATAATTCTATCGATCTTTGTTGTAGAGATATTTAATTTTAAAATCAGGGCTTATTCGCTGATCATCCTGTATATTCTTTGTATAATTTACTCTATTTACTACAATTACAGTAATTACATATGAAATATTGAGTAATTTTTTTAATTTTTTAGTGTCTTTTGATTTTTCATTGA